TGAAATAATATATACTATCTGAGCAATCATTTATAAGCATGTTGGTTCTACAAAACAGCTGCTATAAGATTACATTACTTTTATGTGTCTCGCTTTATATATATATATATATATATACTATATATAGTAGTATAATTAAAGTATATATAGTATATATAGCTAACTGATATACCACGTATGTATACAAACTCAGTTTCCTGGAATTCTTCTGGGAGGATAACATTTGGTCAAGCTCGTTTTGTAGCTAACTATTACATTTGAATAACAACTATTTTGGCATCAGAGAAACTCAAACTTACCTTTTCCCTTTCCCCAAACTGACGGGAAAATGTCTACATTTTAGTATGATATCACGTGACCTTTAGTATGATATCACGTGACCCTTCACAAAATCCTGCTGAGGATTTCCTCCCAAATCGAGGGACATTGTAAATCTGGGGTTAATTCACAAAGTCGTTAAGAGTCGTGGATAAGGGTTCTACAGTCTATACTCATTTATCAATATTATCGAAAAATATAAATATATTGTATTTTAGGAAGCACACTATACCACACTATAGCACACTATAATGAAGCATACTAATGAAGCACACTAATGAAGCACACTAATGAAGCACACTAATGAAGCACACTAATGAATCATTATAATGAAGCACACTAATGAAGCACACTAATGAAGCACACTAACAAGATAAAGAACTGATTTACTGGTTAACACAACATATAATAATAGTTCACGTAATAAAATGTTACATACTTACATTACTGAAAGCTCATCACGGTAAAACACAGCTTCTTGGTTTAAATGTTTCAAATATATAAGCACTACTAATATATAAGCACTACTAATATATAAGCACTAAGCAGATACGCTTAAATAAATTGCAATAATGACTAATGACCAATTTGTTGAAGATTGTTGTTAATGATTAAAATTATTATATGATTGCTGCTTTGTTTGGTTCGATGATAGGTCATGATATACAAAGGGTCCAATTGTAAAATATTTACACGAAAATATGTTCAGGATATTTCCTTACATCGTCGAAGACGACACAGACGGCACACTTCACTCTCCAGTCGTCAAAATAGAGACAAGCAAGGTCCCAGGCTCCACGTCTCTAGAACTAGAAGTAGAGACAAGCGAGGTCCCAGTTTCCACGTCTCTAGAACTAGAAGTAGAGACAAGCTCCCTGGAATGCTGGGTGTATGTGGGATATCCTAACAGACTGGAAATTCACAGAAAACCTACTGCCATGTACATGAGCATGGTACTTGAAGGGGCGGACTGTCTTCCGGAACAATATGTGGAGATGCTGAGTCAAGTTGAGACATTGCACTGAGCCAAGTTGAGACATTGCACTCAGTCAAGTTGAGACATTGCACTCAGTCAAGTTGAGACATTGCACTGAACCAAGTTGAGACATTGCACTGAGCCAAGTTGAGACATTGCACTCAGTCAAGTTGAGACATTGCACTGAACCAAGTTGAGACATTGCACTGAGCCAAGTTGAGACATTGCACTGAGCCAAATTGAGACATTGCACTCAGTCAAGTTGAGACATTGCACTGAACCAAGTTGAGACATTGCACTCAGTCAAGTTGAGACATTGCACTCAGTCAAGTTGAGACATTGCACTGAACCAAGTTGAGACATTGCACTGAGCCAAGTTGAGACATTGCACTCAGTCAAGTTGAGACATTGCACTGAACCAAGTTGAGACATTGCACTGAGCCAAGTTGAGACATTGCACTGAGCCAAATTGAGACATTGCACTGAGTCAAGTCGAGACATTGCACTAAGTCAAGTTGAGACATTGCACTGAACCAAGTTGAGACATTGCACTGAGCCAAGTTGAGACATTGCACTGAGCCAAATTGAGACATTGCACTGAGTCAAGTTGAGACATTGCACTGAACCAAGTTGAGACATTGCACTGAGCCAAGTTGAGACATTGCACTGAGCCAAGTTGAGACATTGCACTGAGTCAAGTCGAGACATTGCACTAAGTCAAGTTGAGACATTGCACTGAACCAAGTTGAGACATTGCACTGAGCCAAGTTGAGACATTGCACTGAACCAAGTTGAGACATTGCACTGAGCCAAGTTGAGACATTGCACTCAGTCAAGTTGAGACATTGCACTGAACCAAGTTGAGACATTGCACTGAACCAAATTGAGACATTGCACTGAGCCAAGTTGAGACATTGCACTCAGTCAAGTTGAGACATTGCACTGAACCAAGTTGAGACATTGCACTGAACCAAGTTGAGACATTGCACTGAGCCAAGTTGAGACATTGCACTCAGTCAAGTTGAGACATTGCACTGAACCAAGTTGAGACATTGCACTGAGCCAAGTTGAGACATTGCACTCAGTCAAGTTGAGACATTGCACTGAACCAAGTTGAGACATTGCACTGAACCAAATTGAGACATTGCACTGAGCCAAGTTGAGACATTGCACTCAGTCAAGTTGAGACATTGCACTGAACCAAGTTGAGACATTGCACTGAACCAAGTTGAGACATTGCACTGAGCCAAGTTGAGACATTGCACTCAGTCAAGTTGAGACATTGCACTGAACCAAGTTGAGACATTGCACTGAACCAAATTGAGACATTGCACTGAGCCAAGTTGAGACATTGCACTCAGTCAAGTTGAGACATTGCACTGAACCAAGTTGAGACATTGCACTGAGCCAAGTTGAGACATTGCACTGAACCAAGTTGAGACATTGCACTGAGCCAAGTTGAGACATTGCACTGAACCAAGTTGAGACATTGCACTGAGCCAAGTTGAGACATTGCACTCAGTCAAGTTGAGACATTGCACTGAACCAAGTTGAGACATTGCACTGAACCAAATTGAGACATTGCACTGAGCCAAGTTGAGACATTGCACTCAGTCAAGTTGAGACATTGCACTGAACCAAGTTGAGACATTGCACTGAGCCAAGTTGAGACATTGCACTGAGCCAAATTGAGACATTGCACTGAGTCAAGTCGAGACATTGCACTAAGTCAAGTTGAGACATTGCACTGAGTCGAGTTGATATATTGCACTGAGTCAAGTCGAGACATTGCATTGAGTCAAGTTGAAGCATTGCACTGAGTCAAGTTGAGACATTGCACTGAGTCAAGTTGAAACATTGCATTGAGTCAAGTTGAGACATTGCACAGAGTCAAGTCGAGACATTGCACTGAGTCAAGTTGAGACATTGCACTGAGTCAAGTCGAGACATTGCACTGAATCAAGTCGAGACATTGCACTCAGTCAAAACTCAAGTTGAGACATTGCACTGAGTTAAGTTGAGACATTGTACTGAGTCAAGTCGAGACATTGCACTGAGTCAAGTCGAGACATTGCACTGAGTCAAGTTGAGACATTGCACTCAGTCAAGTTGAGACATTGCACTGAGTCAAGTTGAGACATTGCACTGAGTCAAGTTGAGACATTGCACTGAGTCAAGTTGAGACATTGCACTGAGTTAAGTTGAGACATTGTACTGAGTCAAGTCGAGACATTGCACTGAGTCAAGTCGAGACGTTGCACTGAGTCAAGTCGAGACATTGCACTGAGTCAAGTCGAGACATTGAACTGAGTCAAGTCGAGACATTGCACTGAGTCAAGTCGAGACATTGCACTGAGTCAAGTCGAGACATTGCACTGAGTCAAGTCGAGACATTGCACTGAGTTAAGTTGAGACATTGTACTGAGTCAAGTCGAGACATTGCACTGAGTTAAGTTGAGACATTGTACTGAGTCAAGTCGAGACATTGCACTGAGTCAAGTCGAGACATTGCACTGAGTCAAGTCGAGACATTGTACTGTGTCAAGTTGAGACATTGCACTGAGTTAAGTTGAGACATTGTACTGAGTCAAGTCGAGACATTGCACTGAGTCAAGTCGAGACATTGTACTGAGTCAAGTTGAGACATTGCACTGAGTTAAGTTGAGACATTGTACTGAGTCAAGTCGAGACATTGCACTGAGTCAAGTCGAGACATTGCACTGAGTCAAGTCGAGACATTGCACTGAGTCAAGTCGAGACATTGCACTGAGTTAAGTTGAGACATTGTACTGAGTCAAGTCGAGACATTGCACTGAGTCAAGTCGAGATATTGCACTGAGTCAAGTCGAGACATTGCACTGAGTCAGGTTGAGACATTGCACTGAGTCAAGTTGAGACATTGCACTGAGTCAGGTTGAGACATTGCACTGAGTCAAGTCGAGACATTGCACTGAGTCAAGTCGAGACATTGCACTGAGTCAAGTCGAGACATTGCACTGAGTTAAGTTGAGACATTGTACTGAGTCAAGTCGAGACATTGCACTGAGTCAAGTCGAGACATTGCACTGAGTCAAGTCGAGACATTGCACTGAGTCAGGTTGAGACATTGCACTGAGTCAAGTTGAGACATTGCACTGAGTTAAGTCGAGACATTGCACTGAGTCAGGTTGAGACATTGCACTGAGTCAAGTCGAGACATTGCACTGAGTCAGGTTGAGACATTGCACTGAGTCAAGTTGAGACATTGCACTGGGTCAAGTTGATCCTTGAATCACACCGCATATAATTTGTTTGGTCGTGGATTTGGAGGAGCCAGCTGATACAAACTGTTTCCTGTTTCTAAGATATGATTTAAAACAGTTTAACCTAGTTTAAAGCTTACATACATGTTACATCTCTGCTTTAAGTTTAAAGCTTGACCCCTTATAATGCTTATTGGGGAGTAAGCTTTGCCGAGGAAGCTAAGTAAACCTGTCTTGTATTAAAAATGTGTCTTTAGCGTTAAGAAATGCATTTTTACAAAACCTATCCGGGTAGGTACCATTTTTGCTGTTTTTAAAAGCTAGGTGAAAGACCCCATTTTCGAAGGAACTGTTAACAAAGTGGTAAACCTATGACAGTTTTTAGCAATTTTGAGAGGTTAGATTTTGGTGTCAAGTGTTACGTGGTTTTATTCTTAAATAGGTCGATAAGTTTATTGAGATTTCAAAGAGTCTTGAATCATAGAAATATTAATTCATTGTTTAAACACATCATATAAAATAATTTCACTCTAGTTCTCAAACTGTTAATGTATAAAACTGAAAAATATTTCACACACAAATTCCAAATCTCACAAATCAATAAATTATCTTAGAATTGAACAACAATTACACTTGTTTTGACTGATAAAGGTTATATTCCAGCACTGCCCTTCCTGCTACTGGAGTATAAACTATAAAGGTTACGGACACATTACGGGAAATATTGTATCATCAGGAAATTATTATTCATAAATTATCAGCTGTCCTTATTATCGGTTTATAACCAGTAGGTATCAGTTCTGTAGATACAAACATTTACTTATTCTTTAGTAGTAGGGTATACTTATCATCTGAGCGGATATTTAATCGAAATGAAGTGGTAGAAGTGAAGTGGTAAAAGACAGAAATGAAGTGGTAGAAGTGAAGTGGTAGAAGACAGAAGTGAAGTGGTAGAAGTGAAGTGGTAGAAGTGAAGTGGTAGAAGTGAAGTGGTAGAAGTGAAGTGGTAGAAGTGAAGTGGTAGAAGTGAAGTGGTAGAAGTGAAGTGGTAGAAGTGAAGTGGTAGAAGTGAAGTGGTAGAAGTGAAGTGGTAGAAGTGAAGTGGTAGAAGTGAAGTGGTAGAAGTGAAGTGGTAGAAGTGAAGTGGTAGAAGTGAAGTGGTAGAAGTGAAGTGGAAGAAGTGAAGTGGTAGAAGTGAAGTGGTAGAAGTGAAGTGGTAGAAGTGAAGTGGTAGAAGTGAAGTGGTAGAAGTGAAGTGGTAGAAGTGAAGTGGTAGAAGTGAAGTGGTAGAAGTGAAGTGGTAGAAGTGAAGTGGTAGAAGTGAAGTGGTAGAAGTGAAGTGGTAGAAGTGAAGTGGTAGAAGTGAAGTGGTAGAAGTGAGATGGAAGACTCAGTTAATTGCCTCAAGTGACAGTGGGATAATATTGAGGTGGGGTAGGGGTTTGGGGTGGTGCGCCATTTAGATAGCTTGTAGGGTCGGGAGGAGGTAAGGCGTCCTGTCCCGAAAAGTTTAGCAGTCTGTGAGCTTCGAACCTCCTTAGCGACCAGTCATTCTGAAAGTAATAGTAATAGTAATATGTACCATCATTCTGAAAGAAGGCCACAAATAAAAATATTGTAAGTTTTTTAGTTGTTATTTGACGGGAACTTAAAAGTCAATAAACAGGACAATGTCACTACTACTACTACTACTAGTCGCATAGAATTGCAAGCTTTTGTTGCCCCAACCTCACCTCATTGTGGAAGTTGAAAGGGCCGGGAGGGTAAGAGTAGGGGTCTGGTATTGGAGGGTAGTGGATGTAGCCTCCAGTCTGAGGGTCAGGTGGAGGTGGCACATCTTTCAGGGACTGCACACTGAAATAGGGTCATTAAAGGGGGGGGGGGGGTCACCCTGAAATAGGGTCATTAAAGGGGCTGAAATAGGGTCATTAAAGGGGGGGGGGGGGTCACCCTGAAATAGGGTCATTAAAGGGGGGGGGGGGGGTCACCCTGAAATAGGGTCATTAAGGGGGGGGGGGGGGGGTCACCCTGAAATAGGGTCATTAAGGGGGGGGGGTCACCCTGAAATAGGGTCATTAAAGGGGGGGGGGAGTCACCCTTAAATAGGGTCAGTAAAGGGGGGGGGTCACACTGAAATAGGGTCATTAAGGGGGGGGGGGGGGTCACACTGAAATAGGGTCATTAAGGGGGGGGGGTCACCCTGAAATAGGGTCATTAAGGGGGGGGGGGGGTCACCCTGAAATAGGGTCATTAAGGGGGGGGGGGGGTCACCCTGAAATAGGGTCATTAAAGGGGGGGGTCACCCTGAAATAGGGTCATTAAAGGGGGGGGGGTCACCCTGAAATAGGGTCATTAAAGGGGGGGGGTCACCCTGAAATAGGGTCATTAAAGGGGGGGGGGTCACCCTGAAATAGGGTCATTAAAGGGGGGGGGGGGAGTCACCCTGAAATAGGGTCATTAAAGGGGGGGGGGGAGTCACCCTGAAATAGGGTCATTAAAGGGGTGGGGGTCACCCTGAAATAGGGTCATTAAAGGGGGGGGGGGGTCACCCTGATGTTAAAACACCGACTAATCAATGTGAAGACTACAAAAATAGGGTTAATAATAAAATTTTACCGCAAATGACGGAGAGTTGTGAATTAATCATTAAATCTTACACCTAATACCTTATAAGAATGTTAGCATGACAAATAACCTGTTAATATTGAGTCTGGGAGTGTGGTTACTGTGGTTACTGTGGTTACTGTGGTTACTGTGGTTACTGTTGACCTCGCTAACCAGGTTCTCTATAGTAAAGAGGCTGTTGTCAGAGTGCAAGTACCGGTCATCCTCACTCATCATTACCCCTTGAGTGTAGTGAGGTGGAGAGAATCCCCCTGATTAAGTAATAACTGGTCAAAATTGAAGACGATAATCTTAATGTTGATTATTTCTGGGTAGTTGGAGTGGCGTGACATAAGGATCATCTTAATGTTAATTATTTCTGGGTAGTTGGGCGTGACGATCATGTTAATCGCACTTCTTACCATTATGATTGGGTCTCTTGAACCTCTTTCTCCTCCTCCGGAAACTGCCGTTATCGAACATGTCTTCAGCAGCAGGGTCGAGTGCCCAGTAGTTACCTTTACCTGGCTTACCCGGCTCTCTCGGAACCTGAACATACACTTTATTTTAACGCTCACTTTCGAGTGAAACTAGCTTAGAAACTTCCATTGATAAAATTAAGAACCAAAGCACTATTAGTACAATCACCGGCAGCTAACCAAAGCACTATTAGTACAATCACCGGCAGCTCACCTAAAATATGCTTGGACTCAACAATTTCCAATTGCAATATTATATTAGGTTTTATATAAAATATGGTTTTGCTTGCTTTAATTGATACTGAATAACATTGTATCGTTTTCCTAAAAGTATTGTTTTTTGTTTATCGTTCCTATCACTAGATCAGTGCCCACTGCGTGTATCTAATACTTTACGCAGCTCCCTCACACGAGTACAAAGTGACAAATGGAATCGAGGAGGTATGATCACGTGTTGCCCACGTGTTGCCCACGTGTTGCCCACGTGTTGGTTTAAAGTGAGCTCCAGGTAACTGGGAAGTAGAAGCAGGGTGTGCACACTTCCTAGCCTCACTGTCACGTGACACATGTAGTTAGTCACGTGGTAAAACCTGGTCGCTGTTTGTTTAAGACGGGTAGTAACTTCCGTTACACACGCTAAATCAAGTTGTATTTACACGACCATAATAAACGCTGGACTAGTCTGGTTCAAATATTCGAGCATTTTAAAGCAACACAATCAAGGCGTGGAGTTGAAATTCTGACGAAAACGGAGATAGAAAGAAACCTTGACGAAGCAATCGTTAAGACTGAGATTGTGGCGAATACTGTTCTGCCACCCTTGTTTGTTGTCTTTGTAGTATGGGAACTTCTCCATGATGAACTCGTATATCTGGGCTAATGTCAACCTGAAATTAGTCGGAATGAAAATAAAACAGGGAAATTGTATAAAAACCAGAAAATTTAATGAGCTTGAATACGGAGCCAGGTTATTGACACACAGTGTCACCTGATGGCACACTGTGTATTTGTCTAGATAGCTAAATAAACTCAACATAGAACAATATTATTATTATCATTTTTAGTTGATTAAGTAAACTAAAATCTTTGGATAGCCCTTATTGTTTGTAATGGTCATATGTAAACTTTATTTGTTTGTCTAACATGTTTTTGCAAATTTGTTATTTACATTTCCAAGTATTAAACAACTGCTCAGTTTCTACTGTTTTATTTTGTCTTTGTTGCTTCGTTACTGTAGACTCCAAAAACTGACTGCATAAATTATACCTAACAAGTAACAATATGGTATGTTTGGGACTATCCTTGTGCTTGATAGTTGATACACTGTTACTTGCTGTATTAGTGTGTTATATATATACAGGTAGAATAATACAGCCTGCTCCATTTAAGTCTGAGGTAATCCAATATCGTGGCCACATTTTCCTGACCTCTTAATATTTATGTGATAATGAAGCAAGTATTTCTACACAAGCTTTCATTGTAGGTCACGTAGTCTTCACCTGTCCCACGATTGGTGGAGTTCAGGCCTCCTCCTCATCTCATTGGCCCCCAGCTCTTACTGAGTTAATTCAATGATAGATCTACACCCGGTAATTCTATTTATTATACTTTGCTGGCTGCATCAGGTCATTTGTGATTGGCCGGGGAGCGTGCCTGTGATAATGATCACGAAGTCTGATTGGTTGTTGTTTTTACCACGTGATATTATTCATGATTTGTTAGGCAGCTCCAAGGCAACAATGGAATAAGAGCCTTTCGGGGGCCGAGGACAATGTTTACATTGCGAAAGAATAACAAAATTAAGAGGCAAAATAAACAAGAATCGTCTCAGATATTCATTTTCTGTCTTTGGTTTTGATTACGCGACTTGCTCCATTCCAAAAATTTTTATTTGCAGCGTAAAAAATAGGAAAAATTGAATTAAGTTGTGACTACCCGCTGTTTAAGTTGTGACTTGTGTAACTTTATAATATAAAACTAAAGGTTTAACCTGGAATCTTTTGCCGCCAATACTATACCAATACAATACAGCCTACTACACATACTATACATACAGCCAACATGATTTTCTAAAAATCATTTTGTCAGATTTTGTCTGGAAAGCTGTGGTCAATAAAAGAACGGATAACAATATTGCGCTGTGGTAGAATTTCAGCCATGCAATAATAAAAACATGTTTTAAAGTATGTCGGCCAGAAATAACTCATATAACTCAAATAACTCATACTGAAACAAATCACTAAATTTTCTTTAATTGGGTAAGAGTACTTTCTTTGCTGAACCCCATGCAGCGGATATTTAACATTAACATCATGTCCGCAACCGTAAATAATTCCATCGCCGATAGTTAGACTAAAAGAACCTCGGGAGAGAGGAAGGTGTTGCAGGACAACAAACGTAGTAGTAGATACAAACGTTGAGACAAACAAATCTTTTAAATGTTTATTAGTTGAACTTACTTTTTCTCGGGGGAGTTTTTAATTGCCATGGTAATGAGGGCGATGTAGGAGTAAGGAGATTTAGCAGCGGAGGGAGATGTTCTGGGCCTGCTTCTACTTTTACCTGCTGTATTAGTGTGTTACCTGCTGTATTAGTGTGTTACCTGCTGTATTGGTGTGTTACCTGCTGTATTGGTGTGTTATCTGCTGTATTAGTGTGTTACCTGCTGTATTAGTGTGTTACCTGCTGTATTAGTGTGTTACCTGCTGTATTAGTGTGTTACCTGCTGTATTAGTGTGTTACCTGCTGTATTAGTGTGTTACCTGCTGTATTAGTGTGTTACCTGCTGTATTAGTGTGTTACCTGCTGTATTAGTGTGTTACCTGCTGTATTAGTGTGTTACCTGCTGTATTAGTGTGTTACCTGCTGTATTAGTGTGTTACCTGCTGTATTAGTGTGTTACCTGCTGTATTAGTGTGTTACCTGCTGTATTAGTGTGTTACCTGCTGTATTAGTGTGTTACCTGCTGTATTAGTGTGTTACCTGCTGTATTAGTGTGTTACCTGCTGTATTAGTGTGTTACCTGCTGTATTAGTGTGTTACCTGCTGTATTAGTGTGTTACCTGCTGTATTAGTGTGTTACCTGCTGTATTAGTGTGTTACCTGCTGTATTAGTGTGTACCTGCTGTATTAGTGTGTTACCTGCTGTATTAGTGTGTTACCTGCTGTATTAGTGTGTTACCTGCTGTATTAGTGTGTTACCTGCTGTATTAGTGTGTTACCTGCTGTATTAGTGTGTTACCTGCTGTATTAGTGTGTTACCTGCTGTATTAGTGTGTTACCTGCTGTATTAGTGTGTTACCTGCTGTATTAGTGTGTTACCTGCTGTATTAGTGTGTTACCTGCTGTATTGGTGTGTTACCTGCTGTATTAGTGTGTTACCTGCTGTATTAGTGTGTTACCTGCTGTATTGGTGTGTTACCTGCTGTATTAGTGTGTTACCTGCTGTATTGGTGTGTTACCTGCTGTATTAGTGTGTTACCTGCTGTATTAGTGTCTTACCTGCTGTATTAGTGTGTTACCTGCTGTATTGGTGTGTTACCTGCTGTATTAGTGTGTTACCTGCTGTATTGGTGTGTTACCTGCTGTATTAGTGTGTTACCTGCTGTATTAGTGTCTTACCTGCTGTATTAGTGTGTTACCTGCTGTATTAGTGTCTTACCTGCTGTATTAGTGTGTTACCTGCTGTATTAGTGTGTTTCCTGCTGTATTAGTGTGTTACCTGCTGTATTAGTGTGTTACCTGCTGTATTGGTGTGTTACCTGCTGTATTGGTGTGTTACCTGCTGTATTAGTGTGTTTCCTGCTGTATTAGTGTGTTACCTGCTGTATTAGTGTGTTACCTGCTGTATTAGTGTGTTACCTGCTGTATTAGTGTGTTACCTGCTGTATTGGTGTGTTACCTGCTGTATTAGTGTGTTACCTGCTGTATTAGTGTGTTACCTGCTGTATTAGTGTGTTACCTGCTGTATTGGTGTGTTACCTGCTGTATTGGTGTGTTACCTGCTGTATTGGTGTGTTACCTGCTGTATTAGTGTGTTACCTGCTGTATTAGTGTGTTACCTGCTGTATTAGTGTGTTACATGCTGTATTAGTGTGTTACCTGCCGTATTGGTGTGTTACCTGCTGTATTAGTGTGTTACCTGCTGTATTAGTGTGTTACCTGCTGTATTAGTGTGTTACCTGCTGTATTAGTGTGTTACCTGCTGTTATTGTTAGAATTTGTGTTTTGTAGAAAAAAGCTTGATTTTTATCATACTTTAAATTAAAATTAAAATGTTACTTTGCTGCAATAGCTTTGCGTTCTATTTAACTCTGATAGCAAGATTTGGATTGTATTTGTTTCTGTGAGAAAAACGTTGGTAAAAGTGCTGGTTGTAGAGTTGAGCTGAAACTTCATTACTGTATAATAAAGTATATAAAGAGACTAACATTTGGTAGCATGAGTGTATTGGAGTTCCGTCAAATCATAATCAGCCTCCATACTATCCAGATAGCTGTGGTGCTGGCCAGGTATCATGTTGAAATAGTAGTTGTCAGGGTGCCCTATGGGCGGCATACTCCCCATTCCTCCACCCATCTGACCAGGCGACAGAGGGCGACTGTTAGTCCACATTTGGGGTTGCTGGGGGAAATTTAGTTACCCAGGGTAATTTGGACACGTTACCCATGGTAATGTGAACACGTTACCCAGGGTTATGTGGATGTGTTACTCGGGGTAATGTGGGCACATGACTCTAAATCTCTGGGAGGGGTTGAGCACCACATTTTAGATGGCAATGATTGTTGCTCTTTTCTGTATGGATTTGAGGTTGATGTAAGTTAAAGATATCGACAGTTATTTTCATATTTGAGAATTTTACAATTTTCTGATATACTCCAACAATTGAACTTATTTGAAAGTTGAAATTTTGTTTTCCGGGTTATATAAAAATGTTTCCTGCGAAGTCTGTTTCATCCCGATCCGGAGAAGTGTCGTGATGTAAAAATGGAATTTTGTAAAGAAATTCGGTAATCATTAGAATAAATCAAATGATTTTGCCCACATTATTTATTCCCGGCCAAGATTACCTCTACATTGATTATTTCAAGTTGGTGACGAGATTAACGTCATCTATCATATAAAATGTTAATAGATATTTCTTGTGTAAATGTAAGTAGCAGAATGTACACTGGAGATATTTTAAGAACCATTTCAATTATAATTTTTGGGCATTAAGCAAATCATTTAATCATATATAAATCCGCGAATAATCAGTGAACAAATCAGGGGGGGAGGGGGGGTTCTTGAACAATTCAATAAAACAAATTTAAGTGAGCTCATCTATTCTCCGGAATTTAACTTATGTGACATAATGAGAGTAACGTACCATTACAGGGTTACCAGGGGTGACGTGGTGGATGGAGTTGTAGGCAGGATGGCAGGGGAGGCCCGCTAAAGGGTCCCTTATTCCATACATATCAGGGATATAGAACTGGGAGGCAGGGGATTTGAGAGGGTCGGGAGGCAGGGTAGAGGGGTGGGGGTGCCCTGCTGGTGACTCCAGACTCCTAATTTCAGGCTTTATGTCGATTACAGGCTTCTCATCCACACAAGACGTCATCACGTGTTAAACAATTATACAAAACAAAACAAACAATATGACTGTTTTAACAAGCTCCTCTTAGTGGTGTTCAGCCAGAAAGCAAACACCTGCACTGACAAATGTACGGCTGGGTGGTATCCTCAACTGTTTCGACATAGCGTCACACGGTCACGTGACACTGACGTGAGGACACGTGAATACATTTCCTACTATAGCAACCACTTGACAACGACACGTGGGCAGGTCACATGATTCTAGGTCACGTGATCACTTTTACACAAATAGGATGCGGTTTGTAACAAGTTGGGAAATAAAAAATATCTCAGGTATTTATCTTATCTGTATATAATTCTAATACATTTGAGGGATCACGCTAATACGTAATCACGCCACTCAACATTCTCTTGACTGAGATATTTTATAGAGACAATAAGATAATGTGACCGGTAAAATGCTTGTTACTCAGAACTCTATACCCAGTGTTATCCCCTATTGTATCATAAGAACTCTATACCCAGTGTTATCCCCTATTGTATCATAAGAACTCTATACCCAGTGTTATCCCCTATTGTATCATAAGAACTCTATACCCAGTGTTATCCCCTATTGTATCATAAGAACTCTATACCCAGTGTTATCCCCTATTGTATCATAAGAACTCTATACCCAGTGTTATCCCCTATTGTATCATAAGAACTCTATACCCAGTGTTATCCCCTATTGTATCATAAGAACTCTATACCCAGTGTTATCCCCTATTGTATCATAAGAACTCTATACCCAGTGTTATCCCCTATTGTATCATAAGAACTCTATACCCAGTGTTATCCCCTACTGTATCATAAGAACTCTATACCCAGTGTTATCCCCTATTGTATCATAAGAACTCTATACCCAGTGTTATCCCCTATTGTATCATAAGAACTCTATACCCAGTGTTATCCCCTATTGTATCATAAGAACTCTATACCCAGTGTTATCCCCTATTGTATCATAAGAACTCTATACCCAGTGTTATCCCCTATTGTATCATAAGAACTCTATACCCAGTGTTATCCCCTATTGTATCATAAGAACTCTATACCCAGTGTTATCCCCTACTGTATCATAAGAACTCTATACCCAGTGTTATCCCCTATTGTATCATAAGAACTCTATACCCAGTGTTATCCCCTATTGTATCATAAGAACTCTATACCCAGTGTTATCCCCTATTGTATCATAAGAACTCTATACCCAGTGTTATCCCCTATTGTATCATAAGAACTCTATACCCAGTGTTATCCCCTATTGTATCATAAGAACTCTATACCCAGTGTTATCCCCTATTGTATCATAAGAACTCTATACCCAGTGTTATCCCCTATTGTATCATAAGAACTCTATACCCAGTGTTATCCCCTATTGTATCATAAGAACTCTATACCCAGTGTTATCCCCTATTGTATCATAAGAACTCTATACCTAGTGTTATCCCCTATTGTATCATAAGAACTCTATACCCAGTGTTATCCCCTACTGTATCATAAGAACTCTATACCCAGTGTTATCCCCTACTGTATCATAAGAACTCTATACCCAGTGTTATCCCCTATTGTATCATAAGAACTCTATACCCAGTGTTATCCCCTATTGTATCATAAGAACTCTATACCCAGTGTTATCCCCTATTGTATCATAAGAACTCTATACCCAGTGTTATCCCCTATTGTATCATAAGAACTCTATACCCAGTGTTATCCCCTATTGTATCATAAGAACTCTATACCCAGTGTTATCCCCTATTGTTAATTGTATCATAAGAACTCACATTTTACAGTTATATTAATATATTATTATGTATATATTTTTGGAAGGATGAATATTGGAAGAAAATGTCGCACTAATATAATATATACCTTAGAATAAAAATATTTAATCTACAACAAATTTAATAAAATTGTTAACCATAATTGTTGTAAACCAAATTTAATACGACTAAATTGATTTTGAATAAAATTAATAGCGAATTAAAATTTTTGTAGACTTATGAATTTTTATTATGACTCCAAATTTGTTAAAACTATCATAGTTATTTATCACCAAATTTTGTTCAATGAAATCAATATAAAAATTAATAACTATCGCCTGCAGCTGAGGACATGTCTCCTGCACCTGAGGTCATGTCCCCTGCACCTGAAGACATGTCCCCTGCACCTGAAGACATGTCCCCGTACCTGAGGACATGTACCCTGCACCTGAAAACATGTCCCCGCACCTGAAGACATGTTCCCTGCACCTGAAGACATGTCCCCTGCACCTGAAGACATGTCCCCATACCTGAAGACATGTCCCCGTACCTGAGGACATGTACCCTGCACCTGAAAACATGTCCCCGCACCTGAAGACATGTTCCCTGCACCTGAAGACATGTCCCCTGCACCTGAGGACATGTACCCTGCACCTGAAGACATGTCCCCTGCACCTGAGGACATGTACCCTGCACCTGAAGACATGTCCCTGCACCTGAAGACATGTCCCCTGCACCTGAAGACATGTCCCCTGCACCTGAAGACATGTACCCTGCACCTGAAGACATGTCTCCTGCACCTGAAGACAAGTACCCTGCACCTGAAGACATGTACCCTGCACCTGAAGACATGTCCCCGTACCTGAGGACATGTACCCTGCACCTGAAGACATGTCCTCTGCACCTGAAGACAAGTACCCTGCACCTGAAGACATGTACCCTGCACCTGAAGACATGTACCCTGCACCTGAAGACATGTACTCTGCACCTGAAGACATGTCCCCTGCACCTGAAGACATGTCCCCTTAATTATTAAGTCGCGAGATATAAGTAGTGTGAAATATACACGTGCTCCCTGGTAGCACCACAAAATGATATTCCCTTAATTCTGTTCCACCTCATACAGTGAGGAAAAGCTGTATATAATTACTTCATCATGCAAAATTACGGGGTATGCAATGTCACGGGGTATGCAATGTCACGGGGTATGCAATGTCACGGGGTATGCAATGTCACGGGGTATGCAATGTCACGGGGTATGCAATGTCACGGGGTATGCAATGTCACGGGGTATGCAATGTCACGGGGTATGCAATGTCACGGGGTATGCAATATCACGGGGTATGCAATGTCACGGGGTATGAAATGTCACGGGGTATGCAATGTCACGGGGTATGCAATGTCACGGGGTATGCAATATCACGGGGTATGCAATGTCACGGGGTATGAAATGTCACGGGGTATGAAATGTCACGGGGTATGCAATGTCACGGGGTATGCAATGTCACGGGGTATGCAATATCACGGGGTATGGAATATCACGGGGTATGCAATGTCACGGGATATGCAATATCACGGTTGGGAAAATGTTGGGTAAACTTAAAGAACTTTCCCTGAAAACCATCAGAACTAATTTCCAGCCCCCAAATAAAAAGGCTCCTTTTCCTTTTTGATTTTGAAGTGTTTAAAAACTTAAAAACTTCGTCAGAGAACGGCAAAATGTTCAATGTGTGTGGGGGTGCCTACTAGTACTACCAGGATGATGATTAATCACTTAACACTCGACTGTCACGTGAATTTTTTAACACGTTCTTTAGGTGGCCCTGAATGACTATTCGGAATCTTAACCTCTTATCTACTCTGACCGGGACCCCAACCCTAACCCAATCCCTGACTGAAGCACATGCTAAAACTCTAACCCTAATGAGAAATAACGCCCCCTATACTCCTATAGTGTACACTACTCCTATGATCATATAAATAATCACGTGATTTATACAGTTTTTCGCCAGGTGAGCATTTAAACCATATGTCATGTGGGGTGATTCGGAATCAGCGTTCAAAGTTGGTTTCTACTTTAGAAAAATCTTGAAATTCAAGTGATTTAATTTTAGCACGCTCGTGCCTACAAGTACAATAGCTGAATTCAGTAGGATTTTTTTTTAAGGGGGATCAACGTGTTCGTGGTCTCATTATGTAACTCGTACGTACCGTGAAGAATAGTTGAACTACAAACATTACATCCCCCCCCCCCCCGCTAGTAATCAGCACTACACCCCCCCCCCCCCCCCCCCGCTAGTAATCAGCACTACACCCCCCCCCCCCCCCCCTAGTAATCAGCACTTACTGGGTCCTGTAGGATGACCTCATACCCATAGTTATCCTCATTACTTGGATATGACCTGCAAATCGTTGCGGCTCCATGAACCTGTTCGGTCATTGCTTTGCCTCCCAATTAGTGAACAGCTCAGCCATTCCTGTAATTCTTTGTTGTGGGAAGATCAGTGCAATCATTGCTCCTTCACCAATCATTGCTCCTTCGCCTATCAGTAATAAGATTAGGACCAAGCTGTCATACACCCGAGTAAACGCTCATTCCGGCCCACTGCCGGCCTTGGGGAACTCTGAACTTATTAACCCTTCTCTAACCCTGCCCGACAACAGAAACACGCTTATAACATTGGAATAGCAAAGATTATGTTGAAATGAGTTGTTTGATACAAAATGGTTCTACGAAATATTTAACATACAAATGGGTGTTAATAACCCGTAAATTAAAAATGCGTAAAATAGAAATGTAAATAAGGGTACAAATTAGGCTTTATTAATAGGTTTTGGAAGTTGTAAAAACTGGATGATCTACCAGAATGTTCTACGGAGCCTGGATCGGATGTTTGCCGTGACGATAATATAACGCACCCACACAGCATTATAAATGTAAGATAAGGAAATTGTGCGGTTGAAAGCACGATTTACTAAATTCAAATATGACTTAAATAGTTATTAGCAGGCTGAAGTCTTGGTTTATGATGACATCTCAATTTAACATCACTTTAAATCTTGAGTACACAGTACTCGAAAATACGCGTTCACTTTCACTTTCATAAATAGCCTCGAAAATCTTATTTGATTAGACAAAACGTCGCGACAATTAACAGTCGAAGAGTTAACTGGAAGACAATTAACAGTCGAAGAGTTAACTGGAAGACAGTGTTGAGATTGCAAGTATTACTCCAGTATTAGCAGGGAGGGGTATATCCGCAGGGCGGGGTGTTCATGAGGGGGTCTGCTGTAAGATATAGGCAGGAGGAGCGCTGTTGGACTGAAAGGGGGGGTCCCTCTTATCTGAACACTCCGGGTGGTTATATGTGGGGAGCTGGTGGGAGTACATATCTCTGGGCCGAGTATCAGGGTTGCTAGACAGGATGATGGGGGACATGTTGAAGACGGTAGTAGATGTGGAGTTTGGTGGGGTGGTGGGGGGCGTGGTCAGGAAGACTGACGGATCCATCACCTGTTGATCTCCTCCCTCGTATTCCAGCTTAGCCGGTCTTTTGTACTGCTGGATCTGAAATAACGGGGTATGGTTAGAGGCTCCCCTTTAAAATGTTTTTCTCGTGGTTTTAAATTCACTGAGTTAAAAAACTTGAGAGCGCCATTAATGTCGGGGGTTTCAGGTTTTTAACTGCAGGTCATGATCGAATACAGCACATTTGATTTTAACTGTTTACTTGTTTAGTGACTTCTGCAGAATTCCAGACGGATTATTAACGATACTGCTATTATATCTAATAAGTATATCACATAGGGGGGGTTCACTACACATATTATATTACTCAATCAGAGAATATTAGATATCAGTATAAGAGTGAGATTGGGAATCATTAGCTGATTACGTTGGGAGATAATTTGCTTGTCAGTTTGGTAATTAAGGTGCTTGTTCTGTAGGTAAATACACAACAATATGAGGGCTGACTGTCACTTGACAGGCTAGCGAGTCTTAAGTAATCAATCATGCAATTAATTGAACATTTCTTCAGCTTGTAAAGTAAAGAAAGCAGAAAGCTAGGGGCAGTGAAATTAACAAGTGACCACTAAAGAAATATTGTGATAATGGTAACCCTCAGGCTATTTGAACTTTGGGCAGCTGTATACTAGTGGTATCCTAGTAATGAGATAAGAAAATATAAATATATTATAGATCAAAGTACACCCTGTTACGTAACCATAGTTACACAATGTTACGTAACCATAGTTACACACTGTTACGTAACCATAGTTACACACTGTTACGTAACCATAGTTACACACTGTTACGTAACCATAGTTACACACTGTTACGTAACCATAGTTACACACTGTTACGTAACCATAGTTACACACTGTTACGTAACCATAGTTACACACTGTTACGTAACCATAGTTACACACTGTTACGTAACCATAGTTACACACTGTTACGTAACCATAGTTACACACTGTTACGTAACCATAGTTACACCTTGTTAAGTAGAACTCACCATGTACGGGGAATGGTTGGGGACGGTGTAGAAGTTTGGTTGCTCAGGAATGTAGGCTCCCATTACTGGTACACTGAAAATATTTATGTTTACGAAATTTCATCAAAAGATGGGTTGTCTTTATAGAGGACAGTGAAAATTAATGGCTGAAGAAAATATCTGTGACTGTATCTTACCTGTTCGGGACCTGTCCCATAACAGTCTCTAGTCTGAAATCAGTCCCAAACTCCGAAACCTTGCTGTTAATCTTCTGACGACTTGTTGCGTTTTCTCCTCTAGTAGAAGTACTAGCAGAAAATCTCTTGAACCTCTTTCTCCTCCTCCGGAAACTGCCGTTATCAAACATGTCTTCAGCAGCAGGGTCGAGTGCCCAGTAGTTACCTTTACCTGGCTTACCCGGTTCACGAGTCACCTGAAAATAACGACTCGGTTAGCGGAGAATAATAGTGTTTCAGAAGGGTCCAAAACCGTAAACTAAAGACTAAAACAAACTTAATTTAACGTTAATTATTAAGAGTCTCACCTTCATGAAGCAATCGTTAAGACTGAGATTGTGGCGGACACTGTTCTGCCAGCCCTGCTTGTTGTCTCTGTAGTAGGGGAACTTCTCCATAATAAACTCGTATATCTCGGCTAATGTCAACCTGAAATTTATGGGATGAAATAAATTAGGTGCATTGGGGGGGGGGATTTTACATCGCTACTAGTACTGGACATGTGAATGTTAAGTGAGTGAATATAAGACTGTTTAATGAAGTGCATTCTCCGCGATGTTGTCATGACAATATAATGGAATGCGAACTATGTAAGGTTTTCAAAAGAGAAGACGGGGAGGGGGTACGTGTCAAATACCCCCCCCCCCCCCCCCTCTCCAAACAGACACCAACTTGTTTCCAGGCATATTTTTCCAATTGTCTAGCTCCACACTATCCGGATACGGATCTTACACCAAATTTCAATCGAGTGATCCAAGATTTGATCAAATTACAGAGAAAGGAATTTCAATAACTTGAGGCCAATTTCCGTGAACTTGGGAAGCTAATAGGATAACACGGAGGAAATATTTGCCAGAAAAAATTAGCCGGAAATTCGCTTTATTAATGAACAGAATGCTTAGATGCTAGCTACCACCGATTTACGGGGCTAGATCACCATCTCCACACCCCCCCCCCCCCCCCCCCCCTCTTCACACAGACACAAATCCGGCACCCCCCCCCCCCCCCCTCTTCACACACACGGCACCCCCCTCTCCTTACACACACACACACATCCGGCACCCCACTCTCCACACACACCCGGCACCAACCCCCCCCCCCCCCCCCCCCCCCCCCCCCTCTCCACACACACCCGGCACCCCCTCCCCACCCCCTCTCTACACATCCGGCACCCCCTCCCCTGGTATAAAGACTTGCAAAATGAGGTTAACTAAAACCTGGCCGTGAGGAATTTAATGTAATTCACTTGATTGCTTGTTGAACGCTTACCAGCCATGCTAACATCTCATTGGTTCTCAGCATTATACAAGGATTTAGTTGAGCCGGATTACTCTTTTTCCTTTGGAAAGATGCCAGGAATTTGTGCTCGAAGGGTATTTTTAAATTTCCGGAACATTGTATACAGTCTCTAACATGTTAGCAGTTCACAAATGTGTTATCCGCCCAACAAGCAATTCCTATCACGACCCCGGCAGTAGCAATCTAGAAAACTGTCGCATTTGTCAGATAGCGATATTAAAGTTTCTGTGGGTAAATTTGTCAGTGATATTACAAATGAGGAGGCTTGCTGATTAGGCTGATTCACGGGCTTTATTTCAGGTCCCTGGATTCTTATGTTAGACAAAAACGACTGTATGTCCTGATTAAATGAGAAATGTAGATACTGACAGGTGGCATATTGAACTAGCAATCCATTCAGAAGATACTTTGTTTTTAACGAAATGTAATGACCAATATAGAGAATAATGCTTGCACATTTGTTTGCCATATGAAATCCTATCAGGGGGGTGCCTATCATGGTACACTAACATTTCAGGAGGTTTGATTTTGGTGAGCTTTGAGAAGATGGAATGATGAGTGGAAGTATCCAGATAAAGAGGTGACAGAAGTTATGTCACCAGTATTTTAACTCTCCTCCCGTCTCCTCTCTGTCTCAGCTCAGCAACCCGATCAAGTTAAAGATGGCTATCTCAGTTGCACGGTAAATACTTCCATCCGTGCTTTGTGGCAGAGAGTGTATTGCATGTGCGTTTTGTCAGTGAAACTACTACTGGTAGGTCGAATTAGAGCGGTATTTGTTAAAGAATGACGGGTTTTAGGGTATGATGATGATTTAATAAGGCTTAACACTGTCGGCAAGCATGCTAACTACATTAACTCACAAATATATTGGGGATTTGGATGAGCTGTCATGAGGTTAAGGTGTGATGTTTGAATAAAAATGACATTAGGTTAAGCGAATATGCAAGAAGGTTTAGGAAACAAAAAGCTTGAATGTTTTAAACATAGTAGAATTAAATCTACTTTTAAATCTTAAGGGGGGTTCACCAGCGGGCACAGAGAAAACCGCTGGATTTTCAGACAAAATACATCAAATTTACCCACCGTTTTTCCTCGGAGTTCTTTATAGCCATGGTTATCAAAGCGATGTAGGAGTATGGGGGTTTATCAGTCAAGGATTTAATTACAGTTGACCCCTTTTTCTTCTTGGCTGAGGGAATAGAGGGGGCAGTTAATATATGATAGGATTAACATTAGAAAAATAAAATATTGCTTTGTTAGTTTGTATATAAGGGACGCTAAGCAAAAGAAGCAGATAACTTACATTTCGACTTGCGAGGGGGCAATGTAAACTGTCTGATGTTATTAGAGACAGCGGTCGTATCGTCCCAGCAGTGTCGGTAAGCAGGCTCTTCGGGGGAACTGTCCGGAGAGTCGCTCCTAAACAGGGTCTCCTGGATATACTGGTATCCTGGCATCATCTGCAGGTAATACTGGTTCATGGTCAGGTCAATACAACGATTACACGAATAGATTTGCAATAGAGTTGGTCTGACTTACTCCGGATCAGATTGAAAGATGCAATAATCTGACTGATGGTTATTTATATTAGGATCATCATGTTAGCGTGTCAATTAGTAATGGCCTTTGTAACTATGAAACGTGATACAATCATCAACAAATTATCATACGGCATGCTTTGTGATTGTGCTATTAGTTGTTTGAAAGAAGCTCAAATATCCTGACGACTGTATGCACGAGACGAGGAGAAAATATTAACGAATAATGGCGGCACAAACCTGACTTGTGCAAAAATAGAATCTAGGGCTGAATTATCAGGTTACTAATGCCAGTATTAAGACTAAACAATAGACGACCAGATGGATAGTGAAACGAATTATAATTAAATCAGATATGTAGGTCATAAGACTACACAATTAGATAAAGTAACTCACCATTGTCGTGTCATGGTAGTTAAGCATCCCATAAATATCTTCAGAAGAAAACTTCCCATCGCCGGGAAAGAAGACGTCGTGTGAATGGGGCGTAAGTGGGGGCGAGTTGACTGATTCAGGGGGAGGGAGATTGTAGTGGTCCGGGGAGGGAAGGTAGGAGAAGGTGGTGTAGGATGGAGATGCAGGGTAGACACGCGGGGGAGGGTGCATCCCGGGTGAGGTACAAGAATAGTTGATCATTTCCTCAGGCAAACACTGGACCCCACAACTGCTCAATTCAACTTCCGATTTAACAAACATAGCAAGGTTGTGCAATAAAGCGAGCTCGAAGTTCTAACACTCGGTGTATAGATGACTTGCGAATAATCAGAATTATCTCGCTCTGGTTTTTAGTTCCACACTAACGCGCGTGTCTGATCACGTGGGCGAGTCATATGGGGATCACGTGATACTGCTCGCGTTACCATGGATACATGACGTGACGCGCTTGCTTCAGACCTAGGATCTGGTTAGAGGGCCGTGGGAACGGGTGATCCATGGTCTGGGGATAAGCCTGTCACGTGATGGTCTATAGTTAACTAGACGGTAGAGCATGTGAAGTGCGCCGCCTGCAGGAAGTAAGCTCTGGAGACTAGAGACATTATTATGTGACCGTCAAAGTCATAACAGTTGCCTTTAAACGAAGATAACTATGTTCTCCGTGGGAATCGCAGAATGTATGACGTAGAAGTAGGACTCAGGACCGTCGTGACGCAAAACCACTACTCACTTCTACTGTTTAAATAGGATCTGACAAACTATTAGTATTATCGAACGAGAAGATTGGCTGAGAGTTTATAAGATCCACACAAAACTCGCGAGTTGAAGCTGACGGTTTTCAAAAACTGACAAGACTTTCCTTTCAGTCTGATATCTTGTACAATATCTACAACACAACCTCTGATTGACAATCAGAATTTGATTTCCCAGTTCATCGGTATATATTCATCTTCATAGAGTTAGACTGTTGAGTGGGAGCTTCGAACAAATAAAATCACTCTTTGAGTGGTGGAACGGACAGTTGGAGGCTGCATCCTTGTTCTTCTTTATAAATCTCAAACTTAAGAAGCAATTTGTCATTCCATGAATTGATGATAGGGCAGAAAATAATCTTCTAAGTACAGAAAATGATTGACAGAATGAACGAAACTGCAAACAAACAAAAAAGTCTGGAGAGAATAGAGAAATAAACCCACCTCTCCTGACAAAATAAAAACAAATATTGGAGCTCATCAGGTCCCAAGACTGTGTTTACATTGTAAAATGTTTACGTAAATAAATGTTTACATAATAGGATTTCATTGATTCTAGCCGACTTTGTTTCATGCCATAAATAAATTACACGTCTCACTTCGTCATGCAACATCAATGGAATTAATATAATCTGAATTCTTGTGGATTCTATGCCACGTGATTTTGCATAATATCCCAAATGCGAGATAGATAAACATCGGGCCCGACTCTGTTCTCTATGAAAATCTTCCACGCAACTCGATTTCAATTTGTTATATCCTTATAATTTTACTTTTAAACTTAGTAGTACTAATAATAGTACATACATAGCAACATAAGGATAAGTAGTTTAAATAATGAACGCTGTAGTACTAGTTTCGTGTGGTCGATTTTGTTTAGAATTAAGCATTGATTATTCTAAATTCCAATTCAAAAGAAAGCGGAAATTTTCTGATGAACGAGTTGAGACTGACTGAATGCTAATTGCTAATACTCTTGATATCATAGGGAATAGGCAGAATTGTAAATATATCGTGATGATCACGATACATTTGACAAAAGTATGCGATTAGTTTCTTTACAAGGTGAGAGAATTTGTAAAAGTAGGTAGTCCTATTTTCTTTTTCGAACATAATTCATCAATTTTGGTTCTTGTGAATGTGATACTGATACAGCTCCAAGATTCATCGTATACCCACCGGTACAAACAATAAAGGGCATTAGTTTAATAGGGAATTAAAATTCGGTCTACTTCCCCTAAACTACAAAAATTGGCAACCTTCCAGTCCGGTTTTCCATTACTCCAGCTCTAATCGGTACTCATTACCACGGAGCACAGGCTTGAGTACAACTCACGACCCATTCTTTCTTCCCATTGGTCCGACCCACGTCCTCTTTTTTCCGATTGGGCCCGCAACTAATCTCTGCGATTACCATCTATGATATACGTTGTGAGCCTATGCAAATTAAACAACCCAGTCCGGGACTAGCAAGCAAGCTTTTACCGTGTGATTGAGCCCTAAATACCTGGCCACGTCACGTGACGAAAGGAGCTGAAGATCTCTGCACGTGTAAGTTGACGGTAGTGGTGGAGGTTACTGATGTTGGCAGGCGTATAATGAGCAGCTTATGGCTGGATCGTGCTGCAAACTGTGGGGCAACTTGCGGGTCTGCTTGATGACAAGCATTGTAGTTTAATGGTGCGGTTAACAAGACCTCCACCAATCAGATTTAAAGATGGAGTTGTGAAGTCAATACCAAAAAGGTGTGAAGTGGTAACCATGACGGAAACACAAAAGATTGATATCATAAGTGGTGAGCGTTCGATCTAAAGGTTTGAAGTTGGGCAAATGCATTTGGACAGTGCTTCAGTTAGTTGTCTCATTTCTAATCTTGAGACTGTTTCTGCACAGCAGTCCGTATTTAATCACGTTGGCCTTCCCATGTATACAATCGGCTCTCTGAGTGACACGATTGGGAATCCCTGTGACTCTGTGACCCATAACACATAAATCCGTGGTTTGTACTTTGTAATTGTATTCAGGAAAAGGAGTTATCCGGGCTATATAGTTATACATTATACAATGTAGGTTCTTTTTAATTTAATAAATCGTCCAACTTCACCTTCCGACCCTGGAAGTCTATCTGATCTTAACTAGCTAAACAAACAAAGTCCCAATCCCCAGATCTTTGGTCCAATCAGCGTTTCCTTTTGATTGAGTTATCCTATTAGCCTGAAGTAAGTCACTGAAGTAAGTCACGTGGGTATGTAAACTGACAGTGATAGGAGGCACATTATTTGTGCTTGTTCGCTGATTGGAAGTTTGAGACTCATCGGCGTGTTTGTTTTGGTAGAAGAACTTGTGGACTGGTAACATTACCCCTGTTACTCTGACAATGACATCCAGGCATGAGGATCATGTGCAAGCACTCCATGACAGCTTTCAAAAGATTATAATGGGCTAGAATCTCCCCCCACCCTGGACTAATAATAATAGCCGGAAAAAGATTCTCTCTAAAGATGTGGATCATTTAACCATAACCCATAAGCTGAGATCTGGATAGTGTGTAACTGTCGAATCAAATTGACTTAGTAATAGTAGTAACTCATTACACGGTCGTCTAACCGTTTAACCACACCCTACAAAATATAATGGTGTTGAGAGTATTTTTCGGGGAAAAGGGGACCAGACATCGCTGAACACGCGTTAGTTCTAGAATAATAGCTATCTAGCAGTTTATCGTCTAAACACACATTAGCTATTAAACTATTAGATGATTAATTTCGTATATTAAGTACTCAGGGTGGGGCCAACGCTCTGTTTTAATTTAAGAATGAGTTTTCTGAGCTTTTTGATTAGAACACTTTCACTTTAAGGGATCATTTCATAGCTTTATTTAAAAAAAAGAGTTGCAGGAAATCCGATAAAAAACTTGATGATATTCGTTTTTCGTTGATAGCCCTCGGTAAGAAATATATCAGTTTCAGACTTCAGTAGTGAGTAGGCCTGTAAAGATCCGCTGGATATCTCATCTCTTTCAATACACTGTAAGTGTCACATGTTTTAAATTGATTGACCAATTTCTATGGGAAATATATAAAAGAGGCCAGCTGTTACCGAGCGGACATCAAGACTCGCACGGTAATATAAACAAGCTCAAGGTGTTTTTACAACTGGTCATCAAGCAAACAAGATGTCAAGCTCATTAGATTGGATCCTGATTGAATATGATTGATCTAATCACAGAGTGATCCGGTTAGCGATTAAGTTCTAATTATGCGCCCAATCAGTGGAGCCCTGATTTTTGATATCAAAAATAGATACCCTGTTTACAAGCTAATCGGACCAGCCTAACTGGCTATATTACTCGGTACAGTATAATGTTTGCACCAAGCTCCGAGGCTAATGAATGGTGACCTGGATTTGGTTCATTAGCTAATTTAATTGATAATTCTTGTAATATATCTATAAACTGTAGGATAGGATCGCTAATGGGCCGTCTACTTAGGACGTCCGCGAAAATCGCAGATTTTCAGACCACCCCCCTCCCCCTGTCCGAATTTTCAATACCACCCCCCCTCCCCCGGACGTCCGGATTGCCGCCAGACTGGCTGGCGACATGAAGTATAATAGGCAGTAGGAGAATATGCGAGTTTTGTCTCGGCTCTCATGAATTGCTCTGAGAATCGAATTCTCGTTCAAAATACAGGGATCTAAACTTACAGAGTAATTAGACTGACTCACTCCAGTGTAGTGTACCCCCGCCCCCTGACTCACTCCAGTGTAGTGTACCCCCCCCCCCCCCCCGCTGACTCACTCCAGTGTAGTGTACCCCCTCCCCCCCCCCCCCGCTGACTCACTCCAGTGTAGTGTACCCCCCCCCCCGCTGACTCACTCCATTGTAGTGTACCCCCTCCCCCTGACTCACTCCAGTGTAGTGTACCCCCCCCCCCCCCCGCTGACTCACTCCAGTGTAGTGTACCCCCCCCCCCCCCCCTCCGCTGACTCACTCCAGTGTAGTGTACCCCCCCCCCCCCCGCTGACTCACTCCAGTGTAGTGTACCCCCCCCCCCCCCCCCCCCCCCCGCTGACTCACTCCAGTGTAGTGTACCCCCCCCCCCCCCCCCGCTGACTCACTCCAGTGTAGTGTACCCCCCCCCCCCCCCCCGCTGACTCACTCCAGTGTAGTGTACCCCCCCCCCCCCCCCGCTGACTCACTCCAGTGTAGTGTACCCCCCCCCCCCCCCCCCGCTGACTCACTCCAGTGTAGTGTACCCCCCCCCCCCCCCCCGCTGACTCACTCCAGTGTAGTGTACCCCCCCCCCCCCCCCCCCGCTGACTCACTCCAGTGTAGTGTACCCCCCCCCCCCCCCCCCCCCCCCCCCCCCCCCCCCCCCCGCTGACTCACTCCAGTGTAGTGTACCCCCCCCCCCCCCCCCCCCCGCTGACTCACTCCAGTGTAGTGTACCCCCCCCCCCCCCCCGCTGACTCACTCCAGTGTAGTGTACCCCCCCCCCCCCCCGCTGACTCACTCCAGTGTAGTGTACCCCCCCCCCCCCCCCCCCCCCCCGCTGACTCACTCCAGTGTAGTGTACCCCCCCCCCCCCCCCCCGCTGACTCACTCCAGTGTAGTGTACCCCCTCTCCCTGACTCACTCCAGCATCATGTATTTATATTTATTTTCAAAATCTTTCTAAAATTTCTTTTTAGTAAATTATATTAATATTAAATCTAAATCTTATGATATTGTTATTATCTTAACAGTTACTGTTGTAACTTAAGATTTTGAATTTGTATTCCTTGTATTTGCTGATTCCTCTTGATAGATCTTACACGTATTAATGTTGTCTTAAAAGTATTTCAATGAAGTGCAGAGATAAAAATCAAATAATGATGAGAGTTATAGATCTCCCTACTGAACGCTACTATGACGAGAGTCAAATCACTGGTTGAATGAAAAATAAAATCGGGCAAAATAAAAGATATCCAAAAATATAACAGGAATGAAAACCGCCTCTTTCTTCAGTCACTAAAATTACGATCACAATAGTTCATTGCAGGATTCATCTTTCAATAAGCTTTTATAATATTACATATTATGTAGTGTATTGTAGTTGTACGATTTAAAGATCTTTGTTAATGTTATCTAAAAACCCTTCGACACATTGATCGTTGGTTTACAGTTACCCGATTCGTTTGGTATTAGCTGTTATATAACAGTATAGACGCGGACGCGGTGTAAATGCAATACATCAACAAATCATAATAATCAAAATATAAACTCAATTGTGAACAGCATTAAGCTTTCAGTCTACACGCTTGTCCATGGCTACAAATTAATAGTTAAGGATGGTTTGCCGGTAGAAGTCTTGGGTTGAGGTTCAGACCGCAATGAACTTTTACTGGATCTATCTAATGAGAATGATGCTGACGAAACCATTTTGTACAACTTTTCAACAGGCTCAGCCTCATCTTTAACTGAAACTGGTCTGCTGTAACTTTTAGTTGTTGTAGCCCTGTCTGGATCAGGACAAGGTCTACCAGAAGCAGCCGTTCTAGGTCTGGATATCTTACTCCTAGCAGTGGTCGGCCTCTCCACACTACCAGATCTGGACATTTCAGATGACGGTCGGGGCCGGAACCTCGCATTTTTACTAGCCACACTAGACCGAAATAAAGGTACAACGTCCCCTATCCGACTGCTGTTGTTCTGAGCCGGCATTTTGGGAGAGTTGTTAAGGGATCTGAAGCTTTTCTTGTTCCTGTTTCGGGGGGTTACGAGAGGAGGGGCAGAGGCTGGCCGGAATGTTTCTTTAGCTAAGTGTGGGAGGGGTGAGGAGTTACCAGGACAGTAAAGGTTAGTCACCTCGTCTCTCACAGGATCCGGCATTATGCTCGGCACCATCAGTGTCCTAAGGGTAGTTTATGGTTGGTGCAAATACAATAAAATACATAACAGCAGCAAGCACCTCGCTATGCGACCGACTGGTTAATTGAACAAACCTTAGTTGGCAAGAGAGACAATATTTGCACTTCTTGCTCGGGTCCACTCTACCCTCATAGTGCTTGAGGTCTCTGATGACGTGTGCTTTGTACAGATCCCAGACTGAATCTTCCATGTAGCGCCTAATTAGGTCCACCACACTCGGATAGAGAGGGTATTTCTCCTGAAGCATATTTACAACGTAAACAGGGGTCTTTACTTAACTCTCTTTATCTATTACTATTAGAATACGCTAGCTACACCCAGTTGAGTCTTGATCATCAATTATCATGTAATCTTACTAATACTATATATAAAGCAAGGAGACGATATATATATATATATATATATATCTGTTGCCATTTTACTGACACCACGACATCAACTTTAACACGATTTTCCGCGAAAACCGTGAGAGACAAACTAAAACTTTTATTGCTGGGTCGAATGCTTTGTGGTCTGGTCTTTTTACCAGTAGCAAGAAATCAAAAATTTCCCAAGGAATAAATAAGTTAGGTCCCTAAAATTGGTCTCCTATATCGTTGTATCTTGACACCACTTCAGAGTTAAACAGTTTCCTGCTAGTGCTAGTAAATTCTAATATGAGAGCAATTCCAGTTGTAACAGCCAAAAAATAACTCCAAAAAATTTGTCCGCGTTGGCAGATTCATAGACCCACGATTGAAATAACTTAAAAGAAACTGCCTGATTGGCCACAAGTAAGATTAGATAATAAAAAGGTTGATCACGAAAAGCTCAAAAACTAGGGAATTAAAATGGCACAACAAGTTTCACTGTAATGTAGTTCTAATCATGAATCAGTTCAATCAGTAAGTGGAAGCTTTTACTATATTGAAAAGTAAAGCAGTTGATAAACTTATAATCAATATGTATTAAGAACGTACTTTTAAAATATATTTCGGCCTGAAAGTGAAAACATACAATTTGAAATCCAAATATCAATATGTACGGGTATATGCCTCACAGAATGGCCAAAAAAAGAAAGGTCTCTCAAAATCACAAAACACACTTTATTCCAGGTTTTATCTCATAAGAAGCTAAGTTGACACTCATATTTTTCTTCCCGGGGATGATTTAATCTCATAACCATTTTTTCTTTGAGAAAAATTGGCCGGAAAATCTTCCTCCAAAAAAACATGCCTCACAGAATGGCCAAATCTGAATTTCTATAATTTTTTGATGGAGATACTTTTTAAATTTCTATCACCACACGTTGTTAGAAAACCTATTAAGGAATGGGGTAATAACCTAAAACTCACGAAAAAACTGAGCAGTAAAAAATTATTTCACAAACAAAAAAAAAGCCTCACAAAATGGCCAAAAAAAATGAAAACGAGAAAATTTTATTTTTCTAAAACCTTTGGCTCTTGTTTCAGGCATGCTGCTGGTATAAATATGCCTTGTTAACACCCCCATATAGGTGAAATTTCTTAGAACTGAATAAAAAGGGCATAATTTCCTACACCAAAAATGGCCATTTTGTTCATATTCCCTGATTTCATGATTTATAACCTTCATTCGGCTGTAAAAACACTCCATCTGGGGTGTTATTGTATGATAAATAGCTTGTGAATACTTTAGACCATCAAAACTAACATGTCTACATCAATAAAAGGAGTTTTAAATTTTGGCTATTTTGTGAGGCATATTTTGGCCGTTTTGTGAGGCGTGTAGCCATTTTAGCGTTTTTTTCTTCCTATATTGAACAATGTTCGTTTTTTTTGATGAATACTATTCTTTAAACATCTTCTGTCATACTGGTGCCAGAAGTTCTCACCAAAATGCAAACTTAGTTCAAAAATTTGAAAACAAATTTTCAGTGCTCAAAATTTCTACATAAACAGTCATATTTATGCCAGAAAATGTGGTCCAAGTTAATGATTTCACCACAGGAAGTGTTGCCAGAAGACTTTTGTTTCATATGGTATCCACAAAACCTACCAGTCTTATAAAAAAAATTAGTTACAAAAACATTTACAAATTTGGCCATTCTGTGAGGCTAGCCATTCTGTGAGGCATATACCCGTACCACCAGATAAGAATTTCACCTGAACTTCTTACCCCCTGATAAACGCACGGTAGCAATGTGAAGAGCGTGAGGTTTAGCGAAGAACTGCACAGAGGAGACAGGTATGGTGAGGACGGTGAGTTTACTTTTAGCAATGAGGTGAAGTGTCGGCAGATCTTTACTGCTGTGGAGCATGTGTTGCATCCCAAATATGTGGCGCTCCTGTGCAATATCTTGTTAGAACGATCAGTGAATAAATACAGAGGGGTGCCATATCTTTTCGTCATTTCTGATAATGACAATGCAAACAGTATTAAACCAAAAATTTCCATTGAACCATAACTCCGCTTCCGGACCACCGATTTACAAAATTCAAAAAAATGGGAAAAAATTAGAGAAAATTCTGAACTTTTCTCGGACGTTAGAAATTATAGTCATTCGTGCTTGAGAAGGGAAGGTGATAACTATAAATAGGTAGGCTGCTATATTTCGTTCAACTTCACAACAGGATATAAATGACGTAACGCGTACAGGTGAATTTTATCTCTCATCTTAACACTTAAACAGAGGAGTAAATTCAAAATTTGGCAAAGTCAGGTCTAATATTAGATAGTGGAGGATGCTATACCTTGAGATGTTGAATTACGAGTGACAGTTTTGGGTCGTGCTGTGTAAAAACATCGTGCAGCTTGTCCGGCTTGTGCCTGCATTTATTACCTGCAGTTACGTAGTTATACTTCCTCATCATGTTATTGCAACATCGGGACACGCTCGTGTTCCAGGTATGATGATGAGTGTATAATTTACTGACTCCGATCTAATTTGTCAGGTTGGATTACCCGTACAGACTTCACCATTTGTCAGAATGCAAACTTGTTTTAGACGGAACAGTCGGTTTTAAACCACAGACCCGACAAAGAGCGTTATTAGATAAAGTTCATGATTTGCGGTTACTGTGAAAGTGCAGAAGTGTTTAGTGCAAAGTTAAAGCTGAATTTAAAACTTCCAGTCAAGCACTCCGGCAACCTGGACACCTGGACACACTCCGACAAAACTTAGACTCTATTAGCAACGCAAAATAACGGAGGTCTCGAGCCGATATGCGATACAAAGCGAGTTTCATATTTTATGATATATAATAAGGCCGGGTTACACTATTTTTATAGTATCGCAAGAAATCAGAATAATCAGAAACTATTTGGAACTCCAAAAAACTGTCTTCTAGTATCATATATAAGGTGAACACCGGGTGGTGGGCTGAGGGGAGGCCTTTACCAGTGAACACCTTGAAGACACTCACACGACGAATGATGGGTAACCATGAACTATGAAGTTAGGGGAACCCCATAGCTATAGTTATGAGGGTTCTTTAATATGTATCTGGGTTTCAAATACGACTACGAAGACGATGGGGTGGCGATTATAAATGTTATTTTAAGACTTTGAACGATACCAAAAATGTTGGTATTATTTAAAGTCTTAAAATAACGTTTATAATCGCCACCCCATCGTCCAAAATAGATCACAGTTACTTACGCTGTTTATCAAGTCGTTTTAAAAGTTCTCTCTGCTGTTCGTTTTCAACACAACAACTGTACACATCGGTCGTCAAGGCAACGTTAGCAACACCCTGAAGTAAATGTGGGGGGGGGTCAACCTCATTTTACCTCATTTTACCTCATCCCAATTTTGCCTTTTTTGGCTGGCCTCATGAGGTAAAATGAGGTAAATCTCGGCACAAATTTTTAACAGGTAAAATTCTCTAAATCGTCAATTTAGTCACGAAGGAGTATGGAAGGAGATCTAAATGGGTGCTCCTCTAATATAAACAGTAGGAAATGGTTAACTTTATTCGAGGTCTCAGGTCTCTACAATGTCGGGAAGTTCCTGCAGGAATTTGCGCATTGCGCTTGAAGCAAAAGATTCACAGCGCCAAAAGCGAAGGTCGTAGAGACATGAGACCTTGACTAAAGTTAACCATTTCATACCATTGCTATAAGAGTATGCCACTTTCAGAGTCCTGAACACACTCCCATATCTCTTAATCGTCAATTATATGAATTTTACCTGTTAAAATATATTATATATATCATCTTTAACTGATATCAATTTAGTTTAACACTGTTAGTTAAAAAAAAGAAAATAATACTTCACACCAAACTAACACACAATATGAGAATATAAAAAGGAAGGTTTTCTTGGAGACCTGGACCGAGCATCAAAATAGTGTAGATTGCTGCTGTCATTGTCAAGACTCAAGAATAAGAGAGTCTAGTTGTGGGATTATGCTGGATAACAGATATGATAAGTGGTAACATCCTACAAAAGAATGTTAGCTTACTAAGGAATTTTCCTCTTACTGAATCATACAAGAAGTTAACTAAGTTCCTCCTAGTCCTAAGCATTATCTTGTTTCAGAGGGAATGAGTGATTTAAAAAGATGAGGCCAAAGAGTTAGTTGTAAAGAAGGCATTTGTACTCTGTAATTTCTAAGCTAATTTTTTTCGATATTTATAGCTATTTACTGATCTTGTCTTGACGTATCAGCAAAAGATCACTGGACCTCGTTAGTTGTTAGTCATGTTATGCTGATCCAGTTAGTGACGAGCTATGAAGTAATCATTCGACCTCATTTAATACTGATCCTATCAATGACGAGCTATGAAGTAATCAGTGAATCTCGTCAATGCTCATCCTGTCCGGACTGTCAGTGACGAGTTATGAAGAAATAAATGGCAAGTTGGTCGTTTAGCTCCGGACAGTCTATGCACGGTCCCTGCACGGTCCATACAACAACAAGAGAACACTCCATGCACAGTCCCTGCACAGTCCCTGCACGGTCTATGCACACTCCGTGCACACTCCCTGCGGCTACTAACCGGTCACTAGCCGGCTATTAGCTTGGCTCTAAAGCAGACCTACTTAGTAGGTCTGCTTAGTAGGTTAGTAGCCAGTAGGTCTGCTTTAGAGCTCAGCACATCGCCGGCTAGTGACCGCCTAGTAGCCGGTTAGTAGCCACTTTGTGGTCACTAGCCGGCTAGTAGCCGGTTAGTAGCCGGCTAGTGACCACTTTTTAAGTGCCGGTTAGTAGCCGGTTTGGTAATGTGAAGTTGAGGAGCTGTTATTACAAAAGTGGCTACTAGCCGGCTAGTAGCCGGTGTTCATATGTTACTGTGCAGGGACCGTGCAGGGACCGTGCAGGGAGTGTGCAGGGACTGACCGTGCAGGGACCGTGCATCAAGTGTTCATTGTGCAGGAACCGTGCAGGGACCGTGCATGGAGTGTTCTCTTGTTGCTGCATGGACCGTGCAGGGACCGTGCATAGACTGTCCGGAGCTAAACGACCAACTTCCCAAATAAATGAAGACCTCATTAATTCCCTTGTTCCAAGAAGATATTCCTCTGGTAACAACCCCTTCTGGCCTGCTTCTGAACATAATATGAAGATGCGAAAACCTAGTCTACCTAAATTGGAACTTGCTGACTGCATTGGAAAATGGATAACAATCGAGAAATGATAATCAGTGCCAGGATAATGGATATAATCAAAGTTGAATTTGGAATCCAAGGAAAAACTTCCTTTTTTATATAACCATATTGTGCGTTAGTTTGGTGTGAAGTGTTATGTTCTTTTTTAAAACTAACAGTGTTAAACTAAATTGATATCAGTTAAAGATGATATATTTTAACAGGTAAAATTCATATAATTGACGATTAAGAGATATGGGAGTGTGTTCAGGACTCTGAAAGTGGCATACTCTCATAGCAATGGTATGAAATGGTTAACTTTAGTCAAGGTCTCATGTCTCTACGACCTTCGCTATTGGCGCTGTGAATCTTGCGCTTCAGCGCAATGCGAAAATTCCTGCAAGACTTCCCGACATTGTAGAGACCTGAAACCTCGACTAAAGTTAATCATTTCCTACTGTTTATATTAGAGGAGCACACATTTAGAACTCCTCCCATACTCCTTCGTGACTAAATTGACGATTTAGAGAATTTTACCTGTTAAAAATTGGTGAAAAATATGGGCGTGGCCCAAGTCAGTATTATACGAAACCGTAGAGACACAAAAAATTGTTTGGTTGTTCCTGACCCTATAGAGCAACTAATTAGAGGTGATATCTAATTATTTGAACGAAGAGTGGTTTTGTGAACCGCCCTATATTCTACAACGAATCATGAACATTGAACATGTACATAAGAACTTAGAATTGTATGAAGTATGAGTTTATATGAGAAATTTATTATGAAATGACCTTTCACTATGCAATTTTGACTAAATTCATGTAGATATCCAATCCAGTTCCATGCACAACTGTTGTTTACATTTGGTCTAGTTAGACACAATTTGTTTCAGAGTGACTCGATAATCGCAATATCAAATTAAGATATTATTTGAATGGTCCATGTCATGCAATGCAGAAATATCCCAATAAATTGGCAACTGCCAAAGTGACACTAAAGTTATTGCTAATTCCTTTACAAAACTTAGCAAGTGCTATTAACAATTTCCTAATGGATCATGGAAATTGAAATGTTCAATTTTCTTTTCATAAATAATAATTATAATGCGAAGTTTTATTTACCCCAAGTTTGGAGAGTAAGTAGGTTAAACTGGGAATGCCCCTTCCCAGGGACCACATCACCCCTAATAAACCATTAAATATCATGGGAGACCATGCACAGCCTCGAATTATAGTATAATGACTTCGAATAAACCTTTTTTGTCTCTAAAAAAAGGCTTAGAAAACTAGATTTATTTACCTCATTTTACCTCATTTTACCTCATCCCATTTTTGCCTTTTTTGGCTGGCCTCATGAGGTAAAATGAGGTTGACCCCCCCCCCCCAAATGTAGAATGGTATTACACCCTGAACTCTGAAGTAAATGTAGAATGGTATTACGCCCAGAAGCAAATGTAGAATGGGATTACACCCTAAAGTACGCTCACTCTGAATTTTTGGGCAGATCGTTTCCTCCCTTATTACAACAGATAGATACAACACAACAAGATACAAGATAAAACTAAAGTAAATTATAACCAGCTTTTACCGAAACCATAACCCCGAAGAGAACCATAAACCTTACCGACCACAACTCTAACTCTAACCGAAGCCCTAAACAAACAAAGAATGTTCGCTACTTTTGTATGCTCAGTGCCCAAGATCATTGATATTGGCGAGTAATTTGATGGGACCGATTATTGTAGGTTTATACTTTATAACCTTGAACCTACTTGTATCACGTGGTGACCCCCACGGTCGCTTCACTATAGTGACGATACAGGGGGACGATAGTGACGATACAGGGGGACGATACAGGGGGAGCCGCGCACTTCGTGCGCGGCGGGTCATACAACGTATGACAAGAACCTACCAAGACGCGCGCCGAGTTGAACTCGTCGACGGTCTTGGAACAAAGATTTTACGAGTATCACCCGTTAAACCAGTTACAACAATGAATACTAGCCGGTGAATGTTTATTTTACTCGTCAAGCCAAAGAATATAATACATAGTATTAGTATGCTACGATATGCTTGACCATTGTTAATGATCTGGCCCGGCGCGCGCTACTTCGTAGCTCGTGCCGTCGAGAAGAAAGCGGCGCGCGCTACTTCGAAGAAATTTAGACGAGTAACATCCGTCAACGATATGCTTGCCATCATGTCAGAAATTATAAAACGGACTGTCCGCGGAATGCGTCGGGCTTCTATATCATTGCCTTGTCCATTGTCAATTGTTAATGCACTAATGCGTGCCTGTCGACACGCATGTCCCTATGCGCGTCGCTCTTTTCGAGATTCATGTATGCGTGAGCGAAGCGAAAAATAGACTAGCACTAGCAGTAGCACATAATCATATGACATAGCTTGACACACGCTGTAACCCCTTTCGAGCGCCGGCCGCTCTCTCGCCGGCCGGCCGGCCGGCGTGCACGAGAGGTATACAACGTGTAGCAAGGCCAAGACATAGCAGGCCCAGCCTCTCTTTAAATAAAGTTTTAAAAAGCAAGGCACTGACCTTAAGTTTAACAGGTGATGATACTCGTAAAATATTTGTATACAACTCGGCGTCTCGACGCGCGTCTTGGTAAGTTATAAACCTACAGCAGTGAGTCTGACCTGGCGCGCGCTACTAGACTGGGGACCTCTACTCAGACCTTTTCTGTATGTTCTTAACATTTAAACTTGGAGGACTTCACCGCTTCGACGCGAACTATCATGTTTGCTTCGCAAAACGATCTCGAAGGGTTGACAATTGACATCGTCAATCGACACTTAAACGGTCTGTAGCAGTGTTTTGTAGCGCGATGCGTTACTGTGCGCCGCGCACTCAATTATGCTTCTCGCTAGATCGGCGAGATGCGCTACTGTGCCTCGCCGAGCTGCGATGAATTGACATCGTCAATTAACATGAACAGTTTCTTTGCACTTTTGCCCTCCTGTGTGGAGACTGGAGAGTTATGGGTTGTAGGTTTACAACCTACCGTACTAGGACGCGCGCCGAGTTGGACTCGTCGACGGTATATATTTCAATATATGGAACAGATATTTTACGAGTATCACCCATTAAGTTATGGGCAGAAAAATGTTTTGGTCGAACGTGACAGGCTAGTAAAACACGAAGTCCCCAGGACCCCAGTTACCTGGGGACGCCAGGCTATTATGTTCATAAAGAATAGAGATTCGGCGGAATGATAAGCTGAGCGCCGCCCGGTAACTGTAAGGACCCCAGGTAATAAGGTTGTGGCTAGGGTTATAAATAGCTTCGCGCGGGGTTATACTTAATTATGGTTAGGGTTGGGATCCGGATTAGGGTTTATGTAAAACCGTTTTGTTCGGCTGCAAAACCATAAAAACCAAATTCACGTGATGATCATGATTTTTGGGAGAGCGAATTAGTAAAAGCCGAATTACTCATTTACACGTTTAACGTTCAGCAAAATTTGGATATCCAGTCTAGTTTTTAATTTGTTGGTAAGCTTTGCTGGCCTTGGATACTTAAGATGTTGTAGTCTTCGCCTTGATTATATACTTGGTCGCTATGATCAAATTTAACTTTTAACACTGGCAGGTTCTGCATAAATTCGGACAATTAAAGGAATCTCTTTGCGCGGCGTGCGAACTACACACGCGCGGCCACTCTTTCTGTCACGGTAATTGAAAAACTTTTTACTTTCTATAGTAATTTGTCCTTAGGTTCACGCGCGCTGTAGGAGGATCTACAAATTTCACAGTACTGTGAAAAAGTTTAAAAACATGATTTTGGGTGCTTTTTTATCTCCAACTTCTATTAAAAGCCATTTAGACTTGGATATGAATGTTTTTTTTTTCTAAAAGTGCTCCGAATGGCCCATGCAAGGGGGGTCATCCTCCAGAGTAGCCACATTTTTGGAGGCACTTTGAGACATATTCATATTAGCAGGAGAAAAACATTCATTTTAACGAGGCAAAATTCGAGATAATGAACTGTACAGCCTGAACAATTTCTTATTGCTAAGAGAACAAGTCAATACTGAATTGCGAGGGGTTCTCTTGTTAAGTTAATACTGAACCCGCCAGAACTGCGAGGGACCTATTCTCTTGTTAAGTTAATACTGAACTTGCCAGAACTGTGAGGGACCTAGGGGTTTTCTTGTTAAGTTAATACTGAACCTGCCAAAATTGTGAGGGACCTAGGGGTTCTCTTGTTAAGTTAATACTGAACCTGCCAGAACTGTGAGGGACCTAAGGGTTCTCTTGTTAAGTTATTACTGAACCTGCCAGAACTGTGAGGGACCTAGGGGTTCTCTTGCCAAGTTAATACTGACCCTGCCAGAACTGCGAGGGACCTATTCTCTTGTTAAGTTAATACTGAACCTGCCAGAACTGCGAGGGACCTAGGCTAAGGGTTCTCTTGTTCAGTTAATACTGAACCTGCCAAAACTGTGAGGGACCTAGGCTAAGGGTTCTCTTGTTAAGTTAATACTGAACCTGCCAAAACTGTGAGGGACCTATTCTCTTGTTAAGTTAATACTGAACCTGCCAGAACTGCGAGGGACCTATTCTCTTGTTAAGTTAATACTGAACCTGCCAGAACTGCGAGGGACCTAGGCTAAGGGTTCTCTTGTTAAGTTAATACTGAACCTGCCAAAACTGTGAGGGACCTATTCTCTTGTTAAGTTAATACTGAACCTGCCAGAACTGTGAGGGACCTATGGATTCTCTTGTTAAGTTAATACTGAACCTGCCAAAACTGTGAGGGACCTATTCTCTTGTTAAGTTAATACTGAACCTGCCAGAACTGTGAGGGACCTATGGATTCTCTTGTTAAGTTAATACTGAACCTGCCAGAACTGTGAGGGACCTAGGGGTTCTCTTGTTAAGTCAATACTGAACCTGCCAGAACTGTGAGGGACCTAGGGGTTCTCTTGTTAAGTCAATACTGAACCTGTCAGAACTGCGAGGGACCTAGGGGTTCTCTTGTTAAGTTAATACTGAACCTGCCAGAACTGCGAGGGACCTAGGGGTTCTCTTGTTAAGTCAATACTGAACCTGCCAGAACTGCGAGGGACCTAGGGGTTCTCTTGTTAAGTCAATACTGAACCTGCCAGAACTGTGAGGGACCTAGGGGTTCTCTTGTTAAGTTAATACTGAACCTGCCAAAACTGTGAGGGACCTATTCTCTTGTTAAGTTAATACTGAACCTGTCAGAACTGCGAGGGACCTAAGGGTTCTCTTGTTAAGTTAATACTGAACCTGCCAGAACTGTGGGGGACCTATTCTCTTGTTAAGTTAATACTGAACCTGCCAGAACTGTGAGGGACCTATGGATTCTCTTGTTAAGTTAATACTGAACCTGCCAGAACTTTGAGGGACCTAGGGGTTCTCTTGTTAAGTCAATACTGAACCTGCCAGAACTGTGAGGGACCTAGGGGTTCTCTTGTTAAGTCAATACTGAACCTGTCAGAACTGCGAGGGACCTAGGGGTTCTCTTGTTAAGTTAATACTGAACCTGCCAGAACTGCGAGGGACCTAGGGGTTCTCTTGTTAAGTTAATACTGAACCTGCCAGAACTGCGAGGGACCTAGGGGTTCTCTTGTTAAGTCAATACTGAACCTGCCAGAACTGCGAGGGACCTAGGGGTTCTCTTGTTAAGTCAATACTGAACCTGCCAGAACTGTGAGGGACCTAGGGGTTCTCTTGTTAAGTTAATACTGAACCTGCCAGAACTGTGAGGGAACCTATTCTCTTGTTAAGTTAATACTGAACCTGCCAGAACTGCGAGGGACCTAAGGGTTCTCTTGTTAAGTTAATACTGAACCTGCCAGAACTGTGGGGGACCTAGGGGTCAAAAGACTGTTCCTGGTCTCACAAAAAGGCAACTAAGTGTACGGTCTCAGAACGTCATTTATTATTTGTGATTTATTTATTATATATTTATATATTTATAGTTTACACAGTATCTACTGTAGTTTGTCTGGCGAACCTTTTAAGATGACAGTTACAATCATTTATTCTAGCTTTTGCGACAGTTTTATTGTTCTCTTATCAGCTTTTACACGACTAGCTGTACAACTCACCTTATTGTATGATGAATTTTACGGTAACTGATTTACATAAACTTGAGAAGGACATGATATCTACTTTACGGCCTCGAAAACTCAGAATACAGAAGAATCACTCAGTATTGATGAAGTCAAAGAAAACATATTGGCTAAATTTGTAGAGAATTTATTGAAGGTAATGGACATTAATTTAGACTTGTGTAAAGCAGCGGCTGGTGCAATTGATACATTAAAAACGGAACAAATTGCTACCTAGAAAATCCTCACCGAACAGCAACAGAAACAACTGGTGCAATATGATTATTTTAAAGATTACTTATATATACATAATTAACCTTTTCAAAGCCTTTATATGGGCGGCCCTCGAGCTGAGGTCTTTCAATCAATCAATCAGATTGAACCGTGAAAAACCATAGCCCGTAAGGTAAGTATTATTAAATAGGTAAACCTGCACAATTGCGTAGATGTGGGGGTGGTGACTCTGTACTGTAGCAACTAGAGATGTAGGAAGATAATCAGCTATTCGACCATGGTCTGTCAGACTTCTAAACGCATCTTCATCTAAATCCTGGAATATCTCCAATGTCCTGGTGATATATTATATAAATCAACAGAATGGAATCGGAACTTGTTCTAGTACTTGCATACATAGCATGCGACGTGGACGTTCTTGATAAAATTGTTTATAAGCAGTGTAATGGTTAAAATACCAACTTAAGGAAGTTGCACTTCCTCTTGTGCTCCGTAAGAAGTGCGCGGTAGACAGCCCGCCCATTTCCGCGTCTGTCCAGCACAATAAACTCCGTCTCCTCAGTGCACACTACAGTAGCTGTCCTCCTCTCCATGTGTAACAGTGCTACGTGCTGCGGGATAACGCTCTCAATAAGTTAAGGGGGCAGGGGGGGGTCTTCATGGAAATTTTCTCAAAATCGACTTTTTAGTTGTTTCTGATAGAGGGGAGAAATATCTATCAGATGCTTTTGATCCCGTGGAAAAATATCATTCCTAGCCGAAATCATTGCCGGTCATAGGTCAGCGTGTGAGTGTAATTGTATTGCGCAAGCGATTTTTGATTGCGTGCCCTGAAAATCGAGTCTAAAAATCTATCTCCTCCTACATTTTTTGAGCAATCACCCTGAAACTTCCAGGATATGTTCTATGGATAATTTAGAAGAGATGAGCCGGGCAGAATTTTGAGATAGGCCTTTAAAAATTGTGTATTCGATTTTGAAAATCTTGGACCTCGTTTTTTGATGATTTTTCGAGGTCCACGATTTTCAAAATCGAATAAAAAATTTTTAAAGGCCTATCTCAAAATTCTACCCAGCTCATCTCTTCTAAATGATCCCTAGAACATATCCTGAAAGTTTCAGGGTGTTTGCTCTAAAAATGTAGGAGAAGATAGATTTTTAGACTCGATTTTCAGGGCACGCGATCAAAAATCGCTCGCGCAATACAATTACACACACGCGCTGACCTATGACCGGCAATAATTTCGGCTAGGAACGATATTTTTCCACGGGATTAAAAGCATCTGATAGATATTACTCCCCTCTATCAGAAACAACTAAAAAGTCGATTTTGAGAAAATTTCCATGAAGACCCCCCCCCCCTGCCCCCTTAAACAGGAGCAGGGAGCAGAGTTTCAATGAATTTGTTGTTTTATTTTATATAGACGTATAATATATAGTAAACCTCATGTTTCAGGTCCCAGTGTAGGAGTGGCCAGTTTTAAGTTTAAGTTTTACTGCTACTGATTACAGGTAAACCGCATATAATATGCCAAAACTGTCAAATATGTGTTCACCCCCAAAATTTTGGTTGAACTTACCCCAAAATCTTGCCCGGTGCCGAGTTTGGGTAAGTCTTTTTCATCCATTGCATCGGCCATAGTATTGCTGTTTCTTAGTTCAACTTGACCGGAATATATAAAATAGTAATGCCTTCCAGGATCTCCTCTTCGGACTATTGTACGATTCTTGCCATGTCTGAATGATTATTTAAGTTGAATTCATTAGTTATTTTAGCGAGTGATACCAGTATGATAGCTTTAGCTCGGCTTTTAGTTTTAAACATTGGTGGACCAATATGAACAAAAAATTATTTTGCGGACGGCCGCTCAATTTCCCGACCCAATTCATTTTCATATCTCATTTCAGCTCCCAACCCTCACAACATGATTGACTAGAATCCGTGCATAATAATAATTTATAATTGATTCGACCATTTTACTGCAACGTTGAACGTATCTTAATTCTTAGATAGTTACCCAAACAACAATAATATGGGCAGTACCAAAATCTAAAAGCACCAGTACAGCAATAACTAAGCTTAACCAACTAGCAACGGACAACCAAATCCTCTCTCCCCCCCTCCCACACGGAAGGCGCGGACAGAAGCGGATTGCTACCCTGGCATACCATCAAATTATATCTCGATTTCTAAAGTTCTAACCCCTAAAGATAATTTGAGCAGCTGCACCCCGATGGACAATGATGATTCACCAAGTTGCACCCCCCCCGGCCCCCCGGGGGGGGGGGGGGGGGGGGGGGGGTGGGGGGGTGCAAAATGTATACATAACATATAATTACTAAAATCTCACTTTTCGTATCTAGCATATCTGGACATGATGATCTGCATGGATTTAGTCATATTTCTAAACTCCTTGAGATGCCTCAGAGCGACCCAAACATGACGAATTTGTTCCTCGGTCCTTGTCATCCAGGGGGATTGCAAAACATTCCTTGCTTCTTTTTCCATACGATACTGGGATACAAAATTTGTTATAAAATATAACGAGTCGAGCATAATAATAATATCGACTAAAAATAATGCTATGACAAAAATTAAAAATGGCCGCATTCTTCTATCCAGTAAAAAGCACTTTTGATAGAAATCACGTTGTACAAACTGCAAAACAAATACCTGGAATTCTTTAGGGGAATACAGCTTGGGATCGAATGACAGTGGATGGAGAGGTATTTGTGAACTGAACCCCCCATCATGAGCTAGCCTCTCCACATGCACTGGCCGGCCTGTGTCTCGGGCATGTTGCCGGAACACATTTATCGCCCTTATCATACGACAAACCTTGGGTTTTTCATTGACAAAACATTTCATATGAGATTAAGATAATATCTTAATTAGATGCGAGCTGTATGATAGGTAGAGAAATAAGTAGAGGTAAAACTGATGTACTACTCAAATCTCAATACTCATGCATCATTTATGCATCAGTTTTGCCTCCACTCATTACTTAAAAAATATAAGCTGAAAATGCGAACCATTGTTACTAGCTTTCTAAATCGGTCGAGTCCACGTCCACCGTAATGACCAAAAATCTGTAAATACAAAATCAGTTAAAAACTTTATTTAATTAACGAAATAATATCTTATCTTACAATAGTCAGTATGCGACATTTCTACTGCACTGACAGTATAAACTGTAATATTCATTAAATCACTTTTTAATAACTTGCTTACCCCTTGGTAAGCTTCATGTACTTCCAAATCTGGATCCATTGTATATTTTTGACCAATATTCCGCATAGCACATCCCCATTTCATCGCCCTTGCTAGCGTCCTGATCAATATACACAATATGTTTATAAGACATCGCATCATCTCTCAAAAGCAGCTGAAATGAAACCACCCCAAATTTGCTTCATTTGGGCCATAACAAGAATGTTAGATTTCATCCCTTTTCAAGTTTAATGGCTCAGTTGGTAAATCTTCTTGCTTGTTAATCGCGAGGTAACAGGTTCGATTCCCAGCGAGCTACCACCCATGGGGTGCAGGTCGGTGACGCTCAGCTAAGGATTCAGAGTGATCTATGCAACCCCCCCCCCCCCCCGGACCACATAGCAAAATACTCGAGAAACCTGGTGTGAGGGTTAAATGAGGAGCTGCATATTGCAGCAAAGTCTAAGGCGAAGAAAGTATGGTAACTACACACTACCTTAAGGCCAGAGGGGGGGGGGGGGGTAAATGGCACTTTTGTAGTTTTTGCATATTTGATAATAGCTACTGGAGACGAGCAAAAAGAAAAAAAACCGGATCAAAATCTGACCTTGCGCTTCTGAGATATCGCGCGCTCAATTTTGAGGTTTACCTGTAATTACATGTTAAACTGGAACTTTAAACGGCTGTAACTTTTTTGACATTTCGATTCCTTAGTTGAGAAAACCGGCCAATCCCTGATCTTGAGGTTTGGTACAGTGGTTCCTTGGACAATTATCCTCATTTATGATGCAGCGATTTTTTTAATTTGACTCAGTTCTCGAATTATGAGGTTAACCATGTCAAAAATTCGGAAAATTTAGCTGGTTAACCTCATAATTCGAGAAACGAGTCAAATAAAAAAAATCGCTGCATCTAATATCTAGATAGTTGTCCAAGGAACCACTGTACCAAATCTTAATATCGGGGAGTGGCTGGTTTTCTCAACTAAGGAACTGAAAGTCACAAAATGTGTTTTGAGATAGATGCAATTTAGTGTTTTCAAAATTTTGAATATTCACTGGAATGTATCACAGTTCGTTAGTTAGGACTTTTTATACACTTAATAACGTTTGCTTGATCAGACCTGGCCGTCCCCTAAATGATTTTAGCCACTTTCAGTAGTTAATGTCCTTGTATTGTAAAAAATGAGGTTAACCAAGACTTCCTGTAAACACTAACTGCTTAAAATTTGGTTGTTAACCTCGCTTTAGACCATATAATAGTGGGATTGGTTTATCAATATGTTATTATATATTTAGTAAAACATTTGCACAGTATAACGATTAAGTTTTTGAGGTTAACATGTAATTGACTGGTCAGATATTCAAAAAATGAGAGGTTAACCTCATTTTTTAGCCATTTACGGGTAAAATCTTCTACTAAAATATGGTCAGTTCAAATCACCTTTGTCACGTGATTATAGTTGTAGGCATTGTGATACCAATAGATACCTCACTTCGATATTGTGGTACATAACATAAGTAAGAATCGTATGTATACTCCCTACGGTACCAAAATGTGATGGTTAACCTCATTTTTTTCATTTTCCCAAGATAAAAGAAAGTCAATCGACACGTCATCTATTTAGAAATGTGTATACCGTAAACTTACGATGAAAATAGTAACTCTATCATTTGATCTATTCTCGCTATATCTAAAAGACGAGGTTAACCTCATTTAATCACGTTTGGATATTACTTTTTCTGATAATTATGAACCTAAAATTTAGAGTTTACATTTGCTGACCGAAATAACGAAAAATTATGGCGTGGAATAAAATATTAACCTCAATTTTATTAACCTCAATGTTGTATAGTCAATTTTGCGAAAATTGGTTAACCTCAATTATAAAATAAAGTTAATCAGCTACAAATATGTGAATAGCGGCAATGTTTTTGTCATTCAAAATTAAATCGATTTAGAAAATAATATTTTGGTAGAATTTTTTGACCCCTTACCCCCCCCCCTCTGGCCTTAAGGGGGGGGGGGGGGGGGGTTCACCCTGATTTTTTTGTGAAACTTGGTTTCGAGATAGCAGTTGACCAACAAACTAGGACCAGTGACCGAACTTTTGAGGGGGTCCCGGACCCCAACCGCCAAACGGTGCCCGCGGGGCAGCCACGCCCATAATTCTAAATTTAGCAGTGCAAATTTTGGAATTTGGCCGCCAAATTTTTTTAAAGGCCTAACTCAAAATTCTGTCCCAAAACTTAAGGTCATGAGACAATTCTACGTTGATTCTAAAAATTTCATGAAAAAATATTGAAACCCTATTGAGTTCTATTGTTTTGAGCGAAGTCAGTTTTGCAAATATCGCGAACTGAGATATGGGCAATTTTGTTCATTTTTTGCGATTATTTGATTATAGAATCCACAATTATGTAGATACTGAGCTGATAATCTCTACTATAATTCAGAGAATTATTTCTGCTGTATGTATGTACGACCACCCACGTGCAAATTTGATGAAAAATAGGAATTTAGGTAACAACCAAAAGGTTCCATAGCAACGGTGTTTTAATGCACACATGCACGTGCAAAGATTGTTTTAACGTCATTTTGATCGGTTTTGTGGTAATTACGTTGTGTTTAAAGTGTTTTATATTTAAATCGGCTGTATCTTCGGTTGAGATCATGGATATTTTATGATGCGATTAAAATTTTCTTTCAAAGAATACTACTAGCTTCGTCCCTGTTACCACGGGCTTTCTAGTCATAGATAATGTGTAGTATAGGCTTACCTTCCATATAAAGTTGGTTTCATTCAAAAATATTGATATTTGACCAATTTATGGGCCAAAATCGATCAAATTTGGTGCGTATGCCCAAATATGGTCATATGGTTTTTTGCTCATAACTCAGTCATTTTTTGTCCAATCTTGATGAAAATTCATATACGAGTTCAGGGAACCACTAGCTACAAGTAGAGCACCTAAAATCTGGATTTTGGGCATGTTCAGGGTATTTTGCTAAATTGGGCCTAATTTGGACCAAATATGGGCGTGGCTGCCCCGCGGGCACCGTGTGGCGGTTGGGGTCCGGGACCCCCTCAAAAGTTCGGTCACTGGTCCTAGTTTGTTGGTCAACTGCTATCTCGAAACCAAGTTTCACAAAAAAATCAGGGTGAACCCCCCCCCCCCCCCCCCCCCCTTAACCGTAACTGGCCAAATAAATCCTTCGGCTTCCTGTAATTGACTGGTTGCACAAGTTGTGTAACAATGTGGTTGTTGGAATGTCCGAAGTAAAATAAGAGTTAGATTAAAAATTGTAAAAAGTATTTATAATCAATATCATATTACAACTTATGAAGTGTCTTACTCAATCATAAAGGTACAGGTACAGGTAAGTTGCGGCTATTAATATACTGTATTAATTCACAATACTCAATCATAAAGGTACAGGTACAGGTAAGTTGCGGCTATTAATATACTGTATTAATTCACAATACGTCCAAACGTCCACTCGTTAGCTGCCTTATTCTCAGCAGCTGACAAAAATTGAACTACCTGGCTGACTTGATACAAAAAGAATACCTGTGAATATTTCATGGGTAGAAAAAACCATAAACTAGTAACCTTGTTGCCTGCACAATAGCAATAATTGTAACTGCACAATAGCAATAATTGTAACTGCACATCCACACAATAGCAATAATTGTAACTGCACAAGAGCAATAATTGTAACTGCACATCTGCACAAGAGCAGTAATTGTAACTGCACATCTACACAAGAGCAGTAATTGTAACTGCACATCTACACAAGAGCAGTAATTGTAACTGCACATCTACACATTTTTGTGAACAAACTGATATAAATCCCATCTGCACAAAATTGTATGTTGTCTGCACCTTGCAGGTAGATCGGATCTCACCTTTTGACATATATAGATCTATACAGATCTATATTCTATACAGCTATACGGCTACGTTATCAAAATTATTCGATTCATGTTCTTAGTTCTGATGTTCAATACATTCACAAGAAAATTCTAACTATGTATTTTTTAATGTTTCTGGGGCAAAATTTGTATTGATCCCGTTTATTGCGACAAGGTAAAAGGTTCTTATCAGGAAAGGAATTGTTGTACGTTTCAATGTAACAACATCGCATTCATTATCTCAAATCCTTGCAAGTGCTCTCTAATTAACAATATCACGTTCAACCACAGAACATTAACAGCTTCTGTCGTGTGTTCACTGTATTCAGTTGATGTCGCTGTGTCATGAAACGATCCAACACAACCTTAAAATGTATGTGGCATATAGTTACAAAGTTGACCTAATAGTAATATCCACTTTTTAAACAAGTGTAGGTATTTAAAGGGATGCTGAATATCTGTATATGTCACCTGAAGGAGCCTTTCTGCTTGAGAGTAGGCAAGTCTTCGAACCTCACTTTAGTGGGACTCAGCGTTCTCTTTCGTCTCTTCATATCATTTGAACACCCATACTGGACTGGTTTCAGACTCTTCATATTACTGAATTATATTTATTTTCATCACTTTTATCATGATCATATTAGTTTACTGTATATCAAATAGGTTCGATAGATTCATTCTGCACGCATCAGCTTGCATTAGATTCATTTAAAAAAGGAGGCACTATTTGTCTTTCAATAAAACTAGTTTACCGCATTAAGGTATTTTTAAGAATCATTTTTGTCGGTAAGATCCTGTTTTATAATAATAATAATAAAACTAGGTAGCGACAATGCAATAATGACAAATCTATTAATATATGCATTAAGTGTATGTAATAACAAATGACTGACATTTTTAATACAAGCTTCTATTCACGGGATAGCCAGTTACCTGGCAACGCCAGCTCATGATGCTTCTCCAAGCTCACACAAGTGTCAGCAAGGAGGAAGATATTCATGCATTTCTGCACGAGGAGCCCATCACAGCTACCAACAATTAATTTATTAAGGTCTAGGCCTTGGATTATGATTAATCATGCTTAACCCATCGTTACAGTAGTGTAATGCTGCCAATATTGATCGAGAAGTTTTCATTCTATCGCTTCTCATATACAAATATAATGGAAGATATGTGGAAAATTGCATTTAATCGAGACAAATAAATTCGTTTAATAGTCAATTTACAATTTACCTATTTTTTTATACACTGACAAATGATCGAAATTTGCGGTCTTCATTAATAACTATAGCCAATTGATTCCAACAAAGGCTATAATTGATATTATTGTAGTACTATCAAAAGTTAAATCTTGATTATGATAATATGAATAATTAAAATGATTTTAGATCAACATCTGACGTTTACAATTGAAATTATTTTGGGCCATTAAGCAGGAAAGACCACTATCCGCGATGATATGTCCTATGAAGTTGAACTTCCATAATCTGCACCCCCAGATTTTACCAATATTTCTTTTACCTTTTCATAATCTAACTCTAACAGATCATTTGCCTCAATAACTTTAGCACGCTGTTCGAAAATATTGTCAATCTCTGAACGAGGCAACAGCATTTTACCCTTTTTCACCGCAGAAATTCCTGGGCCAGCCCAAGTGATTAACACAAACTTTTCTCGTCGGCTTACTTCGTCGCCGGTAATTATCTTAATGTAGACAAAACACATGTCATTTTCTCCGAGATACTGGAATAATTCGTCATATTCTTTTCCTTTCCTGGCTAGTTTAAGCTTGCTGTCGCTAGTGACAGTCATCAATGCCCATACTTGAGAAGTGTTGTGAGGATCTCGAACATAATCTCTTGCCTGCTCAATCCTTTTTAGTTCACTTGGAGTTGTCATGTTTCTATCGTTTCATGGAGCTGTAAATAAAAATGTATTTTCTTTTAAATTTCAATGACATGGTGAACTTCGACATTAAAGATATACCCAAAAAATATACTGTATTTAAGTCATTCAAGCAGGACTTCAAGCTTAGTATGCAAATATTTAAACCATTCACTTCGATTATATTAGTTTAGAATTGATGGACAATTATTAGTTGGTTAATATCAAAATCATGCACTTCTATTATAATATCGGTTCAGAAATTATGAACAAATATTAGGAATATCATAAAAATTTAGACGTAAATGCTCTCACTGAGTAGAAGATGAGAGGGAGATGGAGATGGAGATGGAGAGGGCAACCCCTAGAATTGAAAGGGCTGGCACTTTGGAATTGGAAAAATTAGTTGATTTTAGAGGATATGCTGGTAAATTCTCTAAAAAGTTTCTGGAGTAAAATGCTAAGTCTAGTAAGTCAAATTGTCCCACAAACAACGATTTGGCGCCTCCTAAGGTGGCGCCCCTCGGCATAGTTGGGTCAGCAAGGGGCCCTTCAATCTTCATTCCGCCATTGGTCAAAGGTTAGCGCTTATGTGAAATTTTATTGTGTGAGATAATTTCAATCGTGCCCTGAAAATCTAGTCTAAAAATCTATCTTCTACAACAGATTTTGTACAATTACCCTATCAGGATATGTTATAAGGATCATTTAGAAGAGATCGATTGGAAAGAATTTTGAAATAGTCATTTACAAGTTTTTTATTTGATTGTCAAAAAATACCAACCTTTGGCATTGCTCAGCGATAACTTTGGCTAGGTACAATATTTTCCAGAAAAGGAAGTAAGTCCAATTTTTCGAAATATGGCAATATTGGTATACAAATTTTCAGTATAAAATTCTCTACAACATTTAAGCTACATATTAATGTTGGAGACGTTGTCGCATGCAGTCTCAAGGAAGTACGTACCAGTTGAGAAACATTATGTTCGGTTTTTCTTAAATAATTTCTAAGAGAAGGACGTAAGTCCGAACTTACTTTCTTTTCTGAGAAAATCTTGAAAAATTTCTGAGATAAGGAAATAAGTCCGTGGACTTACTTCCTTTTCTAAAGTAAATGATTTGTGATAGGAAGAAGTAGCTGGACTAACTTCCTATCAAAAGATACTAAAAACGGAATTTTAGATTGCGATTTCCAAAAAAGATTATAACTTAACAGCCGATCGATATTTTCGCATGAAATTTTCAGGATCGATGTATAATTACATTTCAATTTTATGTTGGTGATCAAAATTTTCATTTAGGCCTCAACAAAAATTTGGTGGTCGATTTCCAAAAAACGCTGGATGTATTTTAGTCACAAAACATAAATATGATGAGCATTTATTGAGCTGTTAATCGCAAAGAATATTTTGTTTAGGTATATATTTTAGATCAAGTTTCTTTTTATCAAAATATCGATCAGTTATATCACTTTATACACTCAAATCTTTCAAAATTGGTGGGTTTGCCCAAATATGGACATACTACATCACCCCTCTTCAAAAGCCTGGCAAGACTCCTGGTGAACTGAAAAGCCTCAGACCCCTGACATTATGTAACTGTGCTCGTAAGCTGCTATCCCTCATTACACTCAGGAGAATTGAAGCAAAGGTAGACGCTTACACAGGTCCATGGCAAGCTGCCTACAAGCAGAAGAGAAGCTGTGGAGACCTGGTATGGTGTCACTGTATGTTGATCAGCATCGTAAAAGAAAGAGAGTGGTCTTTCCACAAGATGGGCCTAGACATGTCCAGTGCCTTCGATACTATCAGAAGCCAGACTGTGCTCAACCTCCTAGAGGACGCAGGGTGCACAAGAGATGAGATCAGACTAGTGAGATTCCTCCTGAGCAACACCAAGATCAAGGTGCGAGTCAACAACGCTACCTCCCTTGAATTCATCAGCACCAACGGAGGACCCCAAGGTGATAGTGTTTCAGGGCTCTGTTTCACAATCACTCTAGCTGGTGCCTGCTACCACCTGCGTGCCGTGACGCTGCGCCCAACCCCTCCTATTAACCCTAGCGGCATGCCTGAAGAAGATGCCTACTCTGATGACATCGACTATCTTGGTGAAGACAAAGATACTCTAGAAGCCCTCCTCCCTATCGCTACTAAGGTGTTCAAAGAGTGGAATCTGAATATTAATGAATCAAAGACAGAGTTTGTACACGTCTACATAGCTGGGAAAGATGAGGTCATGGATGATGGTAAACCCCTTAGAATGAATGAAGAATGGTGCAGTAGCAAGTTGTTGGGTTCTCTGCTAGAAAGTAGGAAAGATGTCACCAGAAGAATCATGTTAGCCAATGTAGCATTCCAGAACTTCAAGAAGGTCTGGTGCCAGAGTAAGATCCCCCTACAGAAGAAGCTGAAGGTCTATGAGGCCCAAGTAGTATCTATCCTCATGTATAACTCTAGTTGCTGGGGAATGCCTAAATCGTACTGGGACAAACTAGATGCATGTCACCGTAACCACCTCAGAAAGATCATGAATGTCAGCTGGCCACGCAGTATGATGTCCAAAGATACCCTCTACAAACAGAGTAACTCTACCCCTATGTCCGAGCGTGCTGAGTTATCTAGGTGGAAGATGCTAGGACACATACTGAGGAGCGATGAAAAATCACCAGCTCAAGCTGCTCTGTGTTTTGCTGTCGAGATGTGTAGTGAAGTTGGTAGACTCGGGGCTCACAGACGTAACCTCCTACACCACCTGAAGGTTGACCTCTGGAAGCGTTTCATCTTGCTGGAGTCGTATGATGATATTCTTCATTTGAGAGAACTTGCTAGTAACCGTGGTTATTGGAGTAAATTATTCGATTTTATACTTGAGTACAAGTCAATTTGACTTTTGGGACATATAATCTTACAAAGGATCACGTTCAGGTTCTAAATTATTTTAGGATTGTTGACATTTGTAAGATTGACATGTTTGATAATAATAATAATAATAATAATTAGGGGGTATATCAAGTCCCCCAGTTATGATATGAATTCTCTCCCAAATTTTACAAACTCTCCTACTCTTCCTACTAATGGGTCAGAGCAGGATCAACAACCTAACATCGCCCCTCCAGCTCGCCGTGAGAGGAAGGCTCGCACTGAGACTTCCACTCGTCACACGTGGAGCAAGGAGGACAACATACAGCTCATGACACTGTATTACCAGAGCCAACCATCCCGCTCTGGTTACAGAAGGAGACTCCGGTCACTGTGGGATGATGCCGGACTCTTCACTTGTACAGAACAAAGATTGGCAGACCAAGCAAGGTCAATCAGAAATAATAATCTCCTCTCAGACATAGAACTACTGGAGATTCGAGGTACCCTTCCACCTAGCGTAGTGGAAGAGGCTCCAACAACGACAACTCAAGCTCTACCCACAGTCTCCCAAGCAATCAGGACGTTGAGGGATGCAACTATCCCAACTGTTGCCGCCGAAGAACTCACCCCCACCGCAACGGTACCTGATTTTGACAAGGAGGCAATCATTGAGCGGCTAAAAACCCTCTTAGAAGACCCTTCAGTGATAGAAACCAAGCCCCTGAGACATGTGAACAGAAAGAAGCTTATGGAGGAAACATCCCTCATCAACTCATGTATAGCAGAGATTCCTACTTCTTCAATCACTGAAACCAACACTCTATTGCTTGCAGGAGCACATTTAGTCAGCGAAAGACTTGGTGAAAAACCTGCAAATAAGAATGCAGAGAAGCGGAAAACTCCGCTATGGAAAAGAAGAATCGAAGATAAGATTACCCAGGTGAGGAAAGACATCTCTTATCTTGAGGAGAAGAAGAAAGGTATTACCCTTAAACAAAAAATACTAGAAGGGCTCAACAGACGTCACCCCCTGTTGAAGAAAAAGGGTATATCATGCATCATTGAGGAGCTCAAGCAACGTCTTCGTGCAAAAGCAGCTAAGATAAAGAGATTTAATAAAAGATGCGAACGATACCACCAGAACAAGTTGTTTGGAAACAACCAGAGGCAGTTCTACAGAAACCTTCAAACAAACCCTGAAGAACAGGATATCTCCCACCCTGAGGCTGACAAGGATTCTTGTTTGAAGTTCTGGAAGAACATATGGGAGCAGCCGGTTGAACATAACAGTGATGCTGAATGGTTACCGGATGTCAGAACAGCACTAGCCTCAGCAGATGAACAGCGACAGTTTGTTATAACTAACACCCTGATTGCAGATAGAGTGAAGAAAATGACCAATTGGTCCTCTCCTGGTACAGACGGACTGCATGCTTATTGGATAAAGCACTTTAAAGAACTCCACAATAGGATTGCAGATCAACTTATGAATTGCCTAACCAACGCTGATATCCCTGACTGGATGACATTGGGACGCACGTACCTGCTCATAAAGGACCACTCCAAAGGACCCATCCCAGGCAATTTCAGACCTATTACATGCTTATCAGCTATGTGGAAACTGTTCACTGGTCTAATCTCAGATTCCATATACAACCATTTAGACCAGCAAAAACTCCTCCCCCCTGAGCAGAAAGGGTGCAAGAAGAAGAGCAGAGGATGTAAAGAACAGTTAATGATAGACAAACTCATTCTGAAGAACTGTAAACGAAGGAAGCGGAACCTGAACATGACGTTTATAGACTACAAGAAGGCGTATGATAGCGTCCCACACTCTTGGATTCTGTCTTGTTTGACCATGTGTGGTATCTCTTCATCCATCATAGATCTGTTTGAAGCCTCCTTCAAACAATCGTATGTTAACCTGATGCTTGGTAAAGTTTCCCTTGGGAGAATTAAAATTAATAGAGGTCTATTCCAAGGAGACTCAGTATCACCTATTCACTTTATCATGAGTCTTATACCCCTGTCCATTCTTTTGAATAAGCATGACATAGGATACTCTCTGGAGAAGGGAGGTCGACCTAAAGTGTCACATAGGCTATACATGGACGACCTCAAGTTGTATGCCGAGAGTGAAGACGAAATGCAAACACTGGTTAATACCACAGCAGAGTTCAGTAGTGACATAAAAATGGAATTCGGGCTAGAGAAATGTGCCGTGGTGAAGGTGAAGAAGGGAGCAAGAGCCGTTTTCGAAGGCATCTCCCTACCCACAGGTGAACAGATCCATGAGTTGGAGGACGAGGGCTATAAGTATCTGGGAATACTAGAAGCCAATGATATACTGCACAAAGAGATGAAAGCACTGGTTACAAAAGAGTATATCAGAAGAGTTAAAAAGGTTTTAAAATCCCAGCTTCATGGCAGGAATAGTATACAAGCAATTAACGCCTGGGCTGTACCTGTTGTTAGATATGGAGCTGGAATTCTCTCATGGAATGCTGGAGAGACCAAAGCCTTAGATGTCAAGACCCGGAAACTGATGAGGATAAATGGAGCTCACCACCCCCAAGGAGATGTTGATCGGTTATACGTAAGCCGTCAACTGGGTGGCCGTGGGCTACATAGTATAGAGGAAGTCGTAAAGAGAGAGGAGAATGCACTCACCACTTATGTGGTGAGAAGTAGAGACCCAGAACTGATTGCTCTGAAGGACTACTTTGTCAAAGACAAGATACTCTTGGGTGAAGAGATAGAGAAAGATATCGACCGAACACAGCGCGAGGAAATCCGCAAGGAGAAGTGGACTGCTAAAGTGATGCACGGACAGTTCCCAAGGCAGATGATGGGTATAGCGGACCCGTTAACCTCTTGGAACTGGCTCACTCAACAAGACTTGAAGAAGGAGACAGAAGGATTGTTGATAGCAGCCCAAGACCAAGCACTTAGGACGAATTATGTGAAGCACAGGATTGACAAAACACCTGGCTCTTCTCCCCTCTGCAGACTCTGCAGAAATCATTACGAGACAATAGACCACATACTGAGTGGGTGCCCAAAACTTTCACAGACAGAATATAAGTGTCGGCATGACAAAGTAGCTGCCGCATTGCACTGGAGTCTGTGCAAGGAATACGGCTTCCCACGCAGTAAAAGGTGGTACGAACACCGGGCAGAGAAGGTGCTGGAGAACGAAAAAGTCAAGATATTGTGGGACTTCCATGTCCAGTCGGACCACGTTATCGAACACTGCAGACCGGATCTCCTCCTGGTAGACAAGGTAACCAACGCAGCAACCATCATTGACGTTGCAGTCCCAGGAGATACCCGGATCCTGGATAGAGAACAAGAAAAGATACTGAAATATCAAGACCTAAAAAGAGAAATTAAGAAGAACTGGAATTTACGAAAGGTCACAATCGTCCCTGTGGTGATAGGCGCATTAGGAACTATCACCATTAACTTTCGTAAACACCTCGACGCAGTCCACTGCAATCTGAGCATCTCTAATCTCCAGAAGACAGCTCTGCTTGGATCAGCCAGAATTCTCAGGATGGTCTTAGACATATGATATTCTTGAGAGTATAATACACTGTAGATACTCTATATTTAGTTTATTCTTCACTGGATACTGTAATAAACACTTTTTACCTGGTCCTCTTATATCTCTTCCCTTGCTATGTAAGCCCTGTCTCTTGTTTATACAATTTTTAACCCGTATATTGGGTAGACTGTGTATTTGTTATGTATTTTATATTAAATACAGCTTTGTGTACAAGTAATTATTGTTATTTACAGGACTAAGGGGTATACATGTGTTGGAGTTTTTCTCTTATTCTTCTTCTCTTGCTCTGCATGCCCTGATTCTTGTATAAACATGGTGTTTGTTTAAATATTGTATATTCTTGTATTGATTGTGGTATTTTGTGGGTCAGATTCAGCAATACCCAATGGGTACTTGCTGAATCACTGTTTTATACACTCTGTAGCCAGTCCCTGTGTTCCGTCCCTTGCCCTGCAAGCCCTGTTTCTTGATTATACAGCATTTATTTATCGTGTATTACATTGTAGTATGTAATAAACATTTGTAGTAGTGTAGGATTGTTTGAATTTCTTTTTGCTAGGTTTTATAATATTTATTTGTATAATTTGTGATTGTTTCTCCCGGTTTCTTCCCTTGCGTAGCAAGCCCTGTCTCTTGTAAAAACAACCTAGAAAGATTTGTAGATACACATAGTCTCTACACCTTTACCCTCTGGTCCCTAGGGTCAGCTGATCCCGGGCCAGAGGAAAACTACCGACTGCCAAGGTTTGACGCCTAGGCAGTCGAGACCTCTTATTGAGACCCTTTATAATAATAATAATGGACATACTATTATTCAAAAAGCAATTTAGATTAACCTAATTGTTTATATTTGGCATTGATCAGCGATAACTTTGGCTAGGTACAATATTTTCCAGAAAAGGAAGTAAGTCCAATTTTCGAAATATGGCAGTATTGGTTGTATCACGTCGTGACCCCCACGGTCGTTTCACTATGGTGTAGAGTTTCTACGATGTATCGCGATACAGGGGGAGCCGCGCACTCGTGCGCGGCGGGTCATACAACGTATGACAAAGTATTGGTAGTAAAATTTTCAGTAGAAAATTATTTTCAGCATGAGCTATATTTTTAGATCGTTTAGTTCAAGTTTTTACCGCCGGGAGGCGGGCGCGCGCTATTGCAAGCGCAAAGGCTCTGGACACTGGATAGAGCAATAATACTGTCCTAATATTAAAATCTATAGACCGCAGAATAGGCGGCTATTGTAACTAGAATAGGCGGCTATTGTAACTAAACTTACTTTATCGATAGTGAATCAACAAAGTCATAATTAAAGAAAATACGTGAAAAATGTTTAATATTTGGTTAACGGGTGATACTCGTAAAATATTTGTTCCAAATATGAAATAAGACAGTACCGTCAACAAGTCCAACTCGGCGCACGTCCTGGTAGGTTATAAACCTACAAGTATTTGGGGAAAATAATGATGGTGACTTAAATTTTGGTAGTCCGAAAATATGGTGTTTTTTTTTAAAACCACCGATTTTCGTTTTAAATCTTAAAGTAATATGTAATAAGTGTAAACCGATATAGTCAGCATAAATTCATTTGTATGAAAAGTTTTAAGCTTCTACAAAATGTTGCATAGAAATGTCCTATAAGGATTACTGGGTCGCGCTCAGCCTGTCATTCCGCCTAATCTCTATTCATATGTTTATGAACATGATAGCCTGAGGTCCCCAGGTAATATAAGGAGAGAAAAGATAATTTTTTGAGAAAAGACAATTTTATTATTTATAACAGTTATTTCGATAAGGGGGGACAGAGGGCCCAAGTTGCAATATAAACCAGACAATATTGAAGATTTAGATTTAAATATTGAGCCCTTTGGCTAGAGAATACTTTTTTAGATATTTTGGATAGTTTTTAATATTGGTAACATTAATGAATTGTATTTGATTGATATGTAATATTTAGGCCTGTGGCCAGTTTTCACATTTTATTATTTATCACCAATTCAATACACAATCAATCAATAAATATATATCCAAATAAACTTGATTAAAAATAATGCTTTTTTGTACCCCAATTTTTGTTCGTCGACCGAATATTAATTTGGACATGATATTATTATAATATGGTAAATTTGACTGCCAAATCGAATTTTCGTTAAAATACTGCAATCTGAGAAAAAAGCGCCCCAGCACTGTTATATGTCACTGATTGGTATGCAAAAATCATCCTAAATTGCTTTTATTTGCAATTTGTATAGACTTTCATCATTTATGTATAAAAATTTATAACAAACAAATTTTTACTTAAAAATGTGTAGAACTATCAACGAAACGTCCAAAAACAGTTCATTGGTAAATTCTCTTCTTTTTCTGGTGGGTCAGCAAGGAGACTAAGATAATCTGTGTAATCACTATATAAGATCAAGAAGAGTGACCTGCTTCTAGACAAGAACAACTTCATTAACGGGCACAACACAGGTAAATATCTAGACAGAGGAATAATGGATTAATAAAACAAAAGTTAATAAAACAAAAGTTAAATTTATTACCAATTATTCAATCAATACATATCATAAATTCTAATATTGGAAACACAATGCAGAATGGATGTCTTAAACTATAATTTTGTTGTCACTAATAATCTATTTACTTTCAAAGTTGAAATTTAGTTAAGTATGAAATGCCACCACATCATAGTTAGGGTAAAATATAATTCTTAAAAATTTTAAAATTGAGAAGATTGCTCTATGACTTAAAATTTAAAATTTAGCAAAAGATATCTAATTTTTAAATGGTTGGTTACAGTTTATGACAGTACTGGCATGATCAATTTTATTGTGGCTGGTAAAAGGACCCAGTTGCCTGTAAGGGCTTTACCGAACCCCTGGGGACCACAATGTGATAGGATCAGGCCAGATGTTTCTATGTAGAGCAATTTATTTATTTCGGAGCTATGGTTACGTGGTATAGCTGGTGGTCATGTTTAAAGGTCAGTTTATCTTTGTGTGCTAATTATCCATCCAGATGCTTAGTGATGTGAGTAAATCATGCCCTTCTACAATATATAACGTTTAACTATAAATTTGTTTTTACCACAGAAACTGTGGCACTAAGGTCAAGAATTAAAAATTTGTACTCTCATTGATAGTTAAAGCGTTTTTTTCCCCAGCACTACTACACAACAAAAACCTGTCGGCCCACCGAGGAAACACAGTCGCAGAACAAGGAACCCAATTGTGCTCCTCTATTCTGCGATCGTGTGTATTTACTATAAACTAGCTAAATGCAGTTAGTAAAATTTTCTGGAATCATTAAAGTCGTTTGATTAGTTTATGTGTCAAAGTAATGTCCATGATAATCATATATTTGGATCCCCGGTGGGCAAACACTCGTCCCAAAGGCTAAGGCAAACCTTTCAATGTTTCACCATACGAAGTAAGGAGATTTGAACACATACTCAGCCTACAACTCCACCCATGGGACGAGACGTCGTGAGCCCCAAAATATACAGCATATACCCAGTCAGCAAACACTATACACAACATACATACGATAACAAACAATGTATAATGCCATTACTTCATTTAAAAGAAAATATATCTGCTATCTAATTTTTTTTTAAATTGAAGAATAAACCTGAAGAGAGGAGAAGGAGAGAGGGGTTTGGGAGAGGTAGAGTAGGAAAACAACAGGATCCTGTGCCGCAGGATTTTAAAATTTGTTGTATGATGATTCGTTTTGTGTCGTCTCTTAGATTAATATAGGTCTGATACCCTTGTCATGGTTTTTTGCAATAACACCGTGGTTTACTCATAGAAGCACTCTTGATAGAAGCTCTCATAGCCTGTGAGTTCGTACAAGTTTTTCATTTCAGGGCCTACATTCGTTTCAGCAAGACCAATTACAGAGAATTTGTTAGTAAACCTAGCTATTTCAATTGCCAGCGAGTCAAAGTTTGATTTGTTGCCATCAAGATTTTGAAATATTAGTGAGTTTTGCACTTGTAATTCGTTAGCAAAGGTGCGGTTTATGTCTTTTACAGAATATGAGTCACAGCTTTCAAGTACCTCAGAGATTTTACGTATTACATCATCTGCATCAGTGTTGTCATCATTGTCATCATTCAGAAGCTTAAATGGGTTATAACGGTTTACTGCTAGGTGGATACAATTATTGCAGTACAAGTCAACTTTTTTATTTTGTTTGTCACTGGTGTTAAAACATCTAGAGTGAATGGGACAATTACAGTGGTAGCATTCAATTATAGATTGACCTAAGTAAATACTTTTTAGACAGTGGGCACAGACCTCTTTTTTAAGAACATTCATGCTGGAGGCTGATAGCCTTCAACATGAGGCTGTCCTCCGGCGGCATGAGAATAAAGTGTTGAACCAACCTTACCGTCCCTCCTCCCCCTCTTCCTCCTATCAGTCCCTCCATGCATCCTAACAAGGACAGTATTACGGATTAAAGTAGCAAGTTTGGCCACTCCCTTCCAATTAAGGTGCAGGTAATCCGTTCGGCCATATCTGTCAAACTCCCTGGACAAGGTTAGGCAAAGTAAGCCAGTGTTATTGTCAAGGAAGTCATCAAAGCCATCAACGAACTGGACACCAAAGTTTTTGGGGAGTAGCTCACGACGAATAAGTTCTATAAAGTAAAGAACTTTCCTATTTAAATCAGCATTTCGAGTTGGTAAAAGAGGACAAAGAAATACTTGGGCAGTTGGATTGGCCTCTTGAATTTGCTCAATCTTGAATTCTAGATGACTAAATATAGCAAAAATTTCACGCTGAGATTTAACAGATGGTCTTCTAACATCATTTATACCACACATAATAACAATGTTCTTGTATCCACATGCAAGATATGGGTTAATGTCATCTATTGTAGGAGTCCAAACATTCCGACCAGGCAGCCACTTACCAAAGCTCCTTTTGTGATCCTCTCCAAATTTCATACCTGCTCCATTTGAATCAGAGAAGATACAAGTACTGGCACGATTCTTTCCATCTATTGATCTGAAGGTGAAACTATATCGTACTGCACCAGTGACTGACCCCTTCTGGATAGAGTGCTTGTAGTGAGCCTGACTCCTTCTGGTCATCCTGTAAACTGATCTTGGAGTACACTTGTGCGTGTGAACTGGGTTGTTCATTTCAGTGAAGAGGACTTTGCATTCACCTCCAATGGAAAGAGTCAATATGCTAGACTCTGGATGTATCACCGGTTCATTGTCTGAATGTTCAGGCAGATAACCCTCGCCTTCTTCATAGCGGTTGATCAACACGCTATTCATTACAGGGTTTCCTTCTGCACAGAACTCCTCATTGATTTTCAGGACAAGTGCAGCAATTTTATCAGGGATCTCCACGGTTTTCTTATTCTCATCTCTGGATCCGCTATACTTGTACTTCTCTCCAAAAGAACATACTGAATGCCCATTCTCCTGACTGAACTGAAGAGATTCGCAGTATTGGAGAAGGTCTGATTCAGCATCACTGTCGATGAATTCTTCCACGGTGTCTACCACAGGTTTTTCCTCATGTTTAAAGGTGGTCTTTGATAGAAGGTGCTTATCATTTAATGCAGAACCAGATGATGGCTGATCATGAGGAATTGTCGTCTGTTGGGAAGATAGTTGGTCTAGAGACTGCTTGATTCCCTTCAGTTCAAGAGAAATATGCGGTTCCTGCCGAGTATGTTCATCAAGCTGGTCTATGATATCATGTATCAATTTCTCAGTGTCAAGCTTGGGAGCAGTAGATGAGACAAGACCTTTGGTGGAAAGATCTGTGATTTGTTTCTGAAGGTCTTTAATAGCCTTTTTGACACCACTTACATCTTCACTTAGTTCTCCTTTACAATGGTCTTCTATGTTTTTGACTCGGTTTTGATGGTCTTTCAAACCATGTTCATTGGTTAGCAGGTGTTGCATGTGAAGGTCGAGGTTTTGGATCACCTGGATCGACTCTTTCATTTTATCAACATCAATTGTTGATAGTGATTTCGTCAAGGTTTCTATGTCCTTGATTATATTCACGGCAGCTCACCATTCTTTGCTGGTATCCAGAAGATCATGGGTGAAAACAGTGGTGAAACCTGTCGTTTTTGTAACAACTTTGATGATTCTCCTGAACACCAGAGTCTGGGACAGGACACCAGTCACCTTCAACTGAAACAAGAACTGAATGGAGCTGACTCATATTCTTATCTAGAAGAAGTTGTGATTCCAACAAAAAGCAGCATGCAAAAAGCATTTATTAAATCTTTCCAAGATTTAGCCAAGTACTAGATAGATTAGAAACCAATAAAGTTAAAACGATCTCATATGATATCATTTAGCTATCAACCTTGGATCACAACTAGAAACAGTTATAACATTGATTGAAATAAATTTTCGTGCACATACAGAATGAATGGTTAATAATTTAATATATATGTAGACCAAGCTCTGTGCACGGGATGCTTCCTGGAAGAATCCAGTTCTTTTAGCGGGGCACCCTACCTAAAGCCAAATTGAGATATAATAATCATATTCCTAGAGAAATAATCAGAAATCGAATACCAATCAAATAATATGATATATATGAGTAGTAACCATATTTACTATGCAAAATGCCCCAACCACATAGTGTAAATTTATATAGAATTCAAATTCCATATCATCATTAAACCTCAATACCTAGTCAATATAATAGCCCAAGCAAAATTAAATAACTTCTTATATACCTTACTGTCATACTACAAATTAATTAAACATTTGAAATCTGTTGACCAGAGAATAAATTTCTAAGCCTAATGCAAGTGAAATAATTTAGATGCAATAATGAATGCCTAATGTGAGTATCATTTGTCAATGTCCTTGTAAAAAAGTCTGTACAAGAGATATGAGTAACTAATATAGAAGAAAAAACAGGAAGTTGTCGTCTGTTGTAAAATAAATAAAATATCTAGAATATAAATTAGAATATAAAATAACATTCAGTCAATGTGTCGTCAATAAACTGTACAATTATCAAATGTTAAAACTGGGTGATACAGTCACCAAAAAAAAATACTAAGTATGATAAGTTAATAAATTAAATGTGGTCTATAAAACTACCACTAAGTATAATAGGTCAATAAATTAAAAGTGGTTTATAAAACTACCACTGTGGGAACCCCTTCTCCAGTTAAAACATGTCAGTCATGTGCAAAATCAATCAGAATGGTAAGGTGGTAAAAAAGGGAATATCTTTTCGATACATCAATTATATATGCCTCAGATTTAAAAGAATTAGAAGTTACTTAGTTATCGGCGACTATGATTGCAGTGTAAAATTTGTCATATGAATTGTCGACGGTATAATTAGGGTCTGTTGTTATAGATGATAGTAGCTGTTTCTTATACGAATCACTAAAGCTTTTAACATCGGGCAGATTTCGTAGATCTGTTGGAACATTATTCCAACATTTTGCCCCCAAGTATTGAAAGTTTTTATGTGATGTTGATCTATTGACATAAAGGTTGCAGCTTTCGCCGCTCCTACTACCTCCTGATATGTAACTAAATTTGTTCATAAAGTTTGTAGGACAATTGTCATGGATGATTCTAAACATATAATTTGACAGATGGAGTTGTCGTCTAAGATGGAGTGGTAACCATTTCATGTCTCTATAAACATTAAGGCTGCTCTCTGTTTTTGGAACGTTGAGAGCTATTTTGGCTACCTTTTTGTACAGAGTGTCAAGTTCAGCAAGTTTTGTCTTGCCAGCTCTACAATAGATCGTGTCTAAATAATCGAATTGTGGCAACATGAGTGCATTGGCAAACATTTTCCTATATTTAATGGGTAGCAGTGCTTTACTTCTATACATGGCACCAATTCTCTTCATGACCTTCCTAATAATATAATCTACATGGCTTTTGAAGTTTAATTTACTATCTAGAATGAGGCCAAGATATTTTGTCTCTTTTGTACATACAAAAACTATCAAAATATCAAGACTCTGCACACATTTTACCAAAAAAATTATACCACCTTATAAAGAGGGAGGATCCTGGATCCCGAAATCCACCATTTTTCTGTACTTTCGGAGGTACCAATTCAATGTGGCAGGAAACCATGGCTCATGATACGGCCACTGCAACTGAGCTAAAGCAGTAGAGGGGATGGCGGCTTCTCTGGGATCTAACACATCCCGAAGCAGCCCACCAACGCACTGGTCTGCCCCCGGCGTAACGTTGCCTGATTTGCGCCGCCCCCCCCCCCCCTCTCCCACCAAAAAATCGCCCCCCCTGTTGGCGCCCCCTCCCCTTTTGGCGCCCCTCCCTGAATAAATGAGGTGATTTTAGAGGATAAGCACAGCGGGGTCAGTGAGGCCTTCATTACGCCACTGGTGCCTGCCCGGGTCAATAAAGCAGTCAAGCATCATGTTCAGCATTTTCAATCAACAAATGTGGGAACTTTCTCAATTAAAGATCGAAAGAGACAATTAGAAGAATCGGAAAAAAAGACTTGAATTTGTAGATATAATTTATAAAGCAGATGTTATTGCCCACTTAAAGGGGCCGGGGGTATATTAAAGGGGCCTATTTTTATTAGCTATTTTAGATTTAATAATAATCTGGTGAGTCTAGTGGCGTGCCATTATAAGAAGGGGCAATTTTTTCCAGAATTGTTAGTTTTAAAACGAAAAATCGTCCAATTTGGCAGCAAAATGTATTATATCCTGACCAACATAGGGTTCGGTCGATGCAACAAAATATTTGGGGGTACAACAGCTCATTCATTTTTATTTTTAAGGCCAGTCAAAAATTTTTAGGGGAAGGTGTCAAATGGTAATGTTACGCCACTGACTAGGCATGGTATTTATTGCAACCTCTCTACTCAGAAATCAAAAAGTTGCTAAGAATTCCAACAGATAATGAACATATATATGACAAGTTTTATACTTTGCAGGTTATCAAGCACTGTCTTTCCAGAGTTAGAGCTGATCTAGTTGTGAATTATTATACTAAAACAAAACTTACACTTTCTTTCTTTCTTCCTTAATTTGTTGTTCAAATTAATTCAACATTTACTCTTAGATTTTAGTCTTATGACTTTAGCTTTATAGAGGACTGAGGAGTGAGGACTATGGTTTCATTAGGGGCAAGATGCCATAATGTTTTTCAACATATATCAAAGGTGTACAACGTCAACAGAAGTGTGAGTAAACAGAGAATGCTTGGCCCATGATGCATATTTTATATGTCAAATTGTCAACTCAATTACCGATGCTCACTAATTGGGGATGTCATTGGCTGTTTAACACATGGTTAACACTCGGTCAACACATGGTTAACACATGGTTTACACATGGTTAACTGCAGAATATTTCCTTGCTGATCCTCAAACAAACTTAATTAATTAATTAATTAATTAATGGCATTTGTTCTCCCTCTGATTTTATAATGAGTTGTTAACAATATTTCCCCCTTTCCAGACATGTTTACTCAGCTTGCTGCCTCGCTGTGAGTTCAGCACTTATTGTATAGTGAGTTCAGAAAGATGCCTTCCACCAAACAAACCTTATTCAGTCAGGTAAATTATTTTTAAATTATTTTATATCACGTATTCATTATGTAATGTTATTAAACTTAAATCTGTTGTAATATCATTATTGTTGGGAGGGAGGGGGGGCAAAATTCATATAATACTGACTTAATTACTCAATTAATGGTGTTAAAGAGGTCATTATGGGGACAACATGCAGCGTCCTATCAACTAAACATTGTCTGTATTCTTATTTTGTAACGTATTATCTATACTCTATTGTCACTACTACATTATAGTTCTTATGAATTTTACTCTAGATAACCTTGTAATAATTTCCATTTAATTCGTTTTACGATTCTTAGTTTAATCTAATTAATCTAATTAATCTAATTATCTAATATTCAGTTGGTTCTGAGTCACACTCTTCTCTTGATAATACGGACACAAATCTCCACAACCGATACTTTTTCAGGAGCGGATTAAATTGATCGTTGAGAATATTGGAGATAAATGTAACCTTTAAATTTATACATTTTCAGAAACAGCATTTGTTTCAACAACTTTCGACGTGAGATTTTTTGAGTAATTTTTTTGTTAATGGATGATTGTTATAGAACGATAGTTCAAATTATCTATAAAGAATAAAATTTCTCAGTAACAAAAAACATAGTTGTTTTGATCTGAAAACGATCGTAGAAACATCGCTACATACTGTCACAGTATGTGTGTTACTGCACACTTACTGAATTACTGTGCTTACCATTACAATTTTAAAATTGGGTCCCGGAATTTAAAAATTGTAAATTTGCTTTTGTTTCAGATATTCGCACTCCTTTGCAAGCACAGAAGTTTCTCAACACATATCAATACACGGTTAGTTGAATTTAAAAGCAATTTAGTTTACGGTAGGTGATATAAATGATCATAACATGTAACATAATGCTATAATGATCTCATAACATCTAACAGTTGCTATCCTAGAATGAGCCCTCTCTCTTATCTACAAGACGATTTTATTGTTCTATTGAATTGCTCAGGTCAAATGACATTTTCCATTGCAGCTATTAGCTATTAGCTCTTATCGTATATTTAACATTGTTCACTACTTGTTCATATGATTACCTTATGATCGCTAACAAAGTGGTGGGATACTCCCTTCCTAGACATGAGCGAGAATGGAATTGTTAGGTCCCTCCTTTTAACAGAATTATTGCAATAACTTTTATTATTACAATGTATACTCATCCAGTGAACAGTATAACTAAGCAAACGATAAAAAAAAGGTAGGGGAAACAGGGACCGCTACAATGACAACAGGGGCCGCTACAATGACAACAGGGGCCGCTACAATGACAACAGGGGCCGCTACAATGACAACAGGGGCCGCTACAATGACAACAGGGGCCGTTACAATGACAACAGGGGCCGCTACAATGACAACAGGGGCCGCTACAATGACAACAGGGGCCGCTACAATGACAACAGGGGCCGTTACAATGACAACAGGGACCGCTACAATGACAACAGGGGCCGCTACAATGACAACAGGGGCCGTTACAATGACAACAGGGGCCGCTACAATGACAACAGGGGCCGCTACAATGACAACAGGGGCCGCTACAATGACAACAGGGGCCGCTACAATGACAACAGGGGCCGCTACAATGACAACAGGGGCCGCTACAATGACAACAGGGGCCGCTACAATGACAACAGGGGCCGCTACAATGACAACAGGGGCCGCTACAATGACAACAGGGGCTGCTACAATGACAACAGGGGCCGCTACAATGACAACAGGGGCCGCTACAATGACAACAGGGGCCGCTACAATGACAACAGGGGCCGCTACAATGACAACAGGGGCCGTTACAATGACAACAGGGACCGCTACAATGACAACAGGGACCGTTACAATGAAAACAGGGGCCGTTACAATGACAACAGGGGCCGTTAAAATGACAACAGGGGCCGCTACAATGACAACAGGGCCGTTACAATGACAACAGGGGCCGCTACAATGACAACAGGGGCCGCTACAATGACAACAGGGGCCGCTACAATGACAACAGGGGCCGCTACAATGACAACAGGGGCCGTTACAATGACAACAGGGGCCGCTACAATGACAACAGGGGCCGCTACAATGACAACAGGGGCCGTTACAATGACAACAGGGGCCGTTACAATGACAACAGGGGCTGCTACAATGACAACAGGGGCCGCTACAATGACAACAGGGGCCGCTACAATGACAACAGGGGCCGCTACAATGACAACAGGGGCCGCTACAATGACAACAGGGGCCGTTACAATGACAACAGGGACCGCTACAATGACAACAGGGACCGTTACAATGAAAACAGGGGCCGTTACAATGACAACAGGGGCCGTTAAAATGACAACAGGGGCCGCTACAATGACAACAGGGGCCGTTACAATGACAACAGGGGCCGCTACAATGACAACAGGGGCCGCTACAATGACAACAGGGGCCGCTACAATGACAACAGGGGCCGCTACAATGACAACAGGGGCCGTTACAATGACAACAGGGGCCGCTACAATGACAACAGGGGCCGCTACAATGACAACAGGGGCCGTTACAATGACAACAGGGGCCGTTACAATGACAACAGGGGCCGCTACAATGACAACAGGGGCCGTTAAATGACAACACTCAACAGCCGTCAGCCAAGGTTTTATTGAATTATAACTTTTATTTGTTACACTATTATGAACGGAGAGACCGATGCCACCTGATAAACCGCTCACCAAATAGAAACATCAATCATATATTATATTAAAGCAATTTGCTCGAGAGTTTGATGTTATTTAATTACCAGTTTCATCTTTCCTTGAAAGCATAAAGGCACATTATTTATTGATTTTCGCTTCGATTCTTTTCATTAAAAAATCCTTTTATTTTATCAAGTCTCTGGTTTCCAAAAGGCAAACCTGCAAGATGAGCTCCGTTACCATGGTTACTGTGCAACTAAACCTGATTAATTAGAACACTCTATACGCACATTATTATTCCATATAAGGACACGTATCTGGAGCTATATATTCATTGTGGGAGTAGTGTAGTAGTGTAGTAGTAGTAGTGTAGTAGTGTAGTAGTAGTAGTGTAGTAGTGTAGTAGTGTAGTAGTGTAGCAGCGTATCAGTGTAGCAGTGTAGCAGTGTAGCAGTGTAGCAGTGTAGCAGTGTAGCAGTGTAGGAGTGTAGGAGTGTAGTAGTGTAGTAGTGTAGTAGTGTAGTAGTTTAGTAGTGTAGTAGTGTAGTAGTGTAGTAGTGTAGTAGTGTAGTAGTGTAGTAGTGTAGTAGTGTAGTAGTGTAGTAGTGTAGTAGTGTAGTAGTGTAGTAGTGTAGTGATGTAGTGGTGAAGTGGTGTAGTGGTGTAGTAGTGTAGCAGTGTAGCAGTGTGGTAGTGTAGTAGTGTAGTAGTGTAGTAGTGTAGTAGTGTAGTAGTGTAGTAGTGTAGTAGTGTAGTAGTGTGGTAGTGTAGTAGTGTAGTAGTGTAGTAGTGTAGTAGTGTAGTAGTGTAGTAGTGTAGTAGTGTAGTAGTGTAGTAGTGTAGTGATGTAGTGGTGAAGTGGTGTAGTGGTGTAGTAGTGTAGCAGTGTAGCAGTGTAGCAGTGTAGCAGTGTAGCAGTGTAGTAGTGTAGTAGTGTAGTAGTGTAGCAGTGTAGCAGTATAGTAGTGTAGTAGTGTAGCAGTGTAGCAGTGTAGTAGTGTAGTAGTGTAGTAGTGTAGTAGTGTAGTAGTGTAGCAGTGTAGTAGTGTAGTAGTGTAGTAGTGTATAATATATAGTAGATTTTAACACTACTTTCAACACTACTTAAACAAATACTACTACTATTATGTTATATACAACAAGTAGTTTCTGCATGAGACTTTATATACTTTCCTCGCACTGAAACAGTTTACTCTGCTGCTCACTTTATATACTTTCCTCGCACTGAAACAGTTTACTCTGCTGCTCACTTTATATACTTTCCTCGCACTGAAACAGTTTACTCTGCTGCTCACTTTATATACTTTCCTCGCACTGAAACAGTTTACTCTGCTGCTCACTTTATATACCTTCCTCGCACTGAAACAGTTTACTCTGCTGCTCACTTTATATACCTTCCTCGCACTGAAACAGTTTACTCTGCTGCTCACTTTATATACTTTCCTCGCACTGAAACAGTTTTACCCCCCCCCCCCCCCCCCCCCGATTAGTTGCTGAAACTTCTTAATGTTAGTAATTGTGTGAGCAATATAATGTGTACCGACTAATGTCTCTATAATTTATATTATATATATAAAATAGTGTAAACACTAGACTACATTAGTTACCCGTCTATCAGTCACAACGTCTTCATATAATAATGTCGGTTTAAATACAGTAGCATTAACCCTTTTTACATTTTGGCTTGGTTGCTTTGTTGCTTTGTTTGTAAAATGCACCTACCAGTTTATACCTAGCGGGGAAGGTGTAACACAGTGAAACATATACATGTGTGATTTACAATGACTGTTTACTCTGTTTAGTCTGTTTACTCTGTTTAGTCTGTTTACTCTGTTTACTCTGTTTACTCTGTTTACTCTGTTTACTCTGTTTACTCTGTTTACTCTGTTTACTCTGTTTACTCTGTTTACTCTGTTTACTCTGTTTACTCTGTTTACTCTGTTTACTCTGTTTACTCTGTTTACTCTGTTTACTCTGTTTACTCTGTTTACTCTGTTTACTCTGTTTACTCTGTTTACTCTGTTTACTCTGTTTACTCTGTTTACTCTGTTTACTCTGTTTACTCTGTTTACTCTGTTTACTCTGTTTACTCTGTTTACTCTGTTTACTATACTGTGTATTAGAGACAGCCCCTTTTAGTTCAGATAATACCTAAATATACCTTGTATAAATTTGTTTTGCTATGTACACGTAGTAATATTATGTATATAATACATAATAATTTATATATAACCATGTAGTTCACCATGTCATCCCTATCTCCTGACGCACTAATGTCGGACTGCACTGAAAATAGTGCTACATCTGATGACCTTGAGGAATGTACTGGGGAATGTACTGGGGAATGTAGTGAACCTGTGATGAAATATGATGAGGAACAAGATAAGAATGAGGGTTACCATGGTAACATTACCTTATATGGTGATGAGGGTTACAATAGTTATGATGGTAGAGTACCTCATGCTGTGGCTCCCATCCAGAAATATGGCAATACATTAGTTATAGGTAAATACATTAGTTATAGGTAAATACATTAGTTATAGGTAAATACATTAGTTATAGGTAAATACATTAGTTATAGGTAAATACATTAGTTATAGGTAAATACATTAGTTATAGGTGAATACATTAGTTATAGGTAAATACATTAGTTATAGGTAAATACATTAGTTATAGGTAAATACATTAGTTATAGGTGAATACATTAGTTATAGGTAAATACATTAGTTATAGGTAAATACATTAGTTATAGGTAAATACATTAGTTATAGGTAAATACATTAGTTATAGGTAAATACATTAGTTATAGGTAAATACATTAGTTATAGGTAAATACATTAGTTATAGGTAAATACATTAGTTATAGGTAAATACATTAGTTATAGGTAAATACATTAGTTATAGGTAAATACATTAGTTATAGGTAAATACATTAGTTATAGGTGAATACATTAGTTATAGGTAAATACATTAGTTATAGGTGAATACATTAGTTATAGGTAAATACATTAGTTATAGGTAAATACATTAGTTATAGGTAAATACATTAGTTATAGGTGAATACATTAGTTATAGGTAAATACATTAGTTATAGGTAAATACATTAGTTATAGGTAAATACATTAGTTATAGGTGAATACATTAGTTATAGGTAAATACATTAGTTATAGGTAAATACATTAGTTATAGGTAAATACATTAGTTATAGGTGAATACATTAGTTATAGGTAAATACATTAGTTATAGGTGAATACATTAGTTATAGGTAAATACATTAGTTATAGGTAAATACATTAGTTATAGGTAAATACATTAGTTATAGGTAAATACATTAGTTATAGGTAAATACATTAGTTATAGGTAAATACATTAGTTATAGGTAAATACATTAGTTATAGGTAAATACATTAGTTATAGGTAAATACATTAGTTATAGGTAAATACATTAGTTATAGGTAAATACATTAGTTATAGGTAAATACATTAGTTATAGGTAAATACATTAGTTATAGGTAAATACATTAGTTATAGGTAAATACATTAGTTATAGGTAAATACATTAGTTATAGGTAAATACATTAGTTATAGGTAAATACATTAGTTATAGGTAAATACATTAGTTATAGGTAAATACATTAGTTATAGGTAAATACATTAGTTATAGGTAAATACATTAGTTATAGGTAAATACATTAGTTATAGGTAAATACATTAGTTATAGGTAAATACATTAGTTATAGGTAAATACATTAGTTATAGGTAAATACATTAGTTATAGGTAAATATATAGAGATATAGACAACACTTCTCCTTACTGTTTAACAAAGTCACGCTATTAAATAATCAGTTTACCGAGTGACGAGTATCTGTAGTGTAAACACACAAGATATCTATATTATAAGTGTGAACACATACATTCTCTAGAGATATCTATAATTTTATTTGCGTATTTGCAGAAAATCGGTAGCAGTAACACTGAACAACTTATAACTAATTTTCAGGGCCAATATTTACTAACAAATATGACGAGGAGAGGTGTTTCCAGACGATCTACTGGGATCCAAGAAAACCATTCAACTGTTTAATCAAATGTTAACTTGATCTTTTTCCAGGAGAGTTTGAAAGTAGGTACTTGTTGATCCCCCCTCCCCCCTAAATATCTTACTTCTCATTTCAGAACTTCGACGAACTTCTCTCTTATAACCATTAACTTCTTTTCATACAAACTCATACAAACTGTACAAATTAAAATGCTGATTTCAACTTTTTGCTCCATTTAAAATCGGTCGTTATCCGAAAATCCTTTGATTTTGTTACTTATTTATATAAATATTGTAAGAATATAATATAATTTGATTCAGATCAGATCCACTAAATCCTTTGATTTTGTTACTTATTTATATAAATATTGTAAGAATATAATATAATTTGATTCAGATCAGATCCACTAACCTGGAGCCCGTTAACAACTGAATTATTTATAGGATTTATATTGTATATTGTATATAAGAGGTATACTGTATAGGATGTATTGCTTAGTTTTACAAACGATACAATTATAAGATCCCATATAACTCATATTATTCATATAATTATATTAAGTATATTATAATATTCCAGATGAGTTGGATGGGAAGAGTCCCTTGCTCGCCTGTGAGCTCCAGTACTGCGTGAGAGTTGGTAGCGGAGTGAAAGGGGACCCCCCTGTGGTACTGTTAGATGGCAGCGAGCCAAGTTTCTTTACAGCCCACCTCCAAGTAGTTAGCAACGTAAGTCTTACATCATGTTAAATCGGGGGAGGGGGGGGGGGGGGCGGGGGGATCATAAGGTCAGAATCGTACGTGACGTTGGGGGGTCATTATTTTCTTCCAAAACGCAGTTAGTACTTTTGTACTAAGTGGTGGGTCTGCTGCTCATATCCCAGAAAAACAGTTAGTACATAGTACAAAGGGGGTGTCTAACCAACAAAAAAAAACCATTTTACCTCAAATTTCAATTTTGGAAATGGGTTTTGAGGTTTTTTGAGTTTTTTTGAGTTTAAAAAAAAAGTTTTTCTTTTTGTAACTTGTATCTAATTCGACTACATTGAAAACAAAGCCCCTACTAAATAGTGGGTAGAATTTGCCCATTTCCCAATGTTTAATGAGCTGTCTAAAGCAATTTATGGGTGAGTATCTTATTTTATATACCAAGACACAGTCAATACTGTGATTTCTCAACAGTTAGCACGAAGAGTGGTGGGTGGGTCTTTTGAAAAATTCCAAAATTACACTTAGTCGTAAGTGTAATTTTGAAGCAGCTAAAACTTTAGTTATGAAAATAAGCATCGCCATTAATCCTGTGTTCCCCTTCTCTAATTAAGTAATTAGCAAGTACAGCTCAATAGAAATATTGATTTTTTGATTTTTCTTATTTTTACCGAAACATTTTTCCCATTTTGCCTCAACGTTTGGTCAAAGGGGCATAGGCATCGATGGGGTTCCAAGATTCGGTAATTGGTCGACGAATTGAGCGGCCATCCTTGTAAGAAGTGCGGTCGCATTTCTTATTAATTCTTACATTTGATGATCACTTTGTACACTGTATTGTTCTCTTTGCGAACTTCAAATCAAATTATAACACTGTTGACTGTCTGATGTTGTTAACTGTTACTATATATTATAGTGTGTACTATATACACAGTTACCTGGTTACTTCGCCAACCTGGTGATGTGGTTAACTGCAGTGTGATCTAGTTAACTGACGACGTGTCTGTCTTTGTGCAAACAAGGAGCGCAGAGGACTATCTCTACCTTTAACTGACACCTGCTACACCAGGCCTCCCTGCTACTAGAGTAACAGCTGTGGAAACACCAAAATCGATTATAATCAGAATTTCGTACCATTTAAATATGTCTCGTAAGGTAATCAGAACAGCTCTTAACTTACCTAAAAAGATACTACCTGTCCAGGAAGACCCCCCTGGCCCCTTGCCAAACTAACAAACTAACTGCCCAGGAAGGACCGGAGGTAGATACTATCGAGGTATGTGAGTACAGTGAGACCACATTGCAGAAATACCGGCCACAGTCTGATAAAGGCACCGTGTACAAGGCGGGAAGTGTACTAAACTACTCATTCCGCGTTATGGAGGAGAGCGCTAATATGGTGAGTATTTCCCCCCCTCCCTGTTAGTGTCCCCCCTCCCCCCTGTTAGTGTCCCCCCCCCCGTTATTGTCCCCCCTCCCCCCTGTTAGTGTCCCCCCTCCCCCCTGTTAGTGTCCCCCCTCCCCCCTGTTAGTGTCCCCCCTCCCCCCTGTTAGTGTCCCCCCTCCCCCCTGTTAGTGTCCCCCCTCCCCCCTGTTAGTGTCCCCCCTCCCCCCTGTTAGTGTCCCCCCTCCCCCCTGTTAGTGTCCCCCCCCCCCCCCGTTAGTGTCCCCATACCCCACCCCAACCGCCCCGCCCCCCCCCCCCCTCCCCCCTTCCCCCCGTTAGTGTCCCCCTCCCGTCCCCCCCACCCCCCCCCCCCCCCCCCCCCGTTAGTGTCCCCATACCCCACCCCAACCACCCCGCCCCCCTCCCCCCTTCCCCCTCGTTAGTGTCCCCCTCCCCTCCCCCCGTTTATAGTGTCCCCCTCCCCCCCCCCTCCCACCGTTAGTGAGTATTGAGTAACCTCGGACTCTATCTCTCAGATGTGCTGTCTGTCCCTGTGTTACAGTGACGGAACGTTCCTGGGAAGAGGTTACCTAGCTCTGGATCAGATCACACTACTGGATCACATAGCACTTCCTCTGATTAACGAGACCGACACCATCATAGGACTCCTCGCTTGTACGTGTAGTAGTGTGCTGTAGTGTGCTAGTGTGCTAGTTTGTAGCCTGTACGTGTTCTCAAGCAATGCTTCACTGTCGCCACCACGTGACATAATACAAGTGTATTGTAGAATATTATAGCTGCTCACATGTTAACTATGGTTCTAGATAACGAATGTAATATCAGGCAGTATACTAGAGATAAAAGGGTTGAAGCAGCCTCCCCCCTCCTTGAGCCCTGCTACTACTGACTACTCTACTACTCTAGAGATAGGACACAGGGGCTGTGGTGTGACACACACCGACAAGGAGCTCTTCTCAGAGTTAGTCACACTGTATCACACTGTATCACACTGTATCACACTGTATCACACTGTATCACACTGTATCACACTGTATCACACTGTATCACACTGTATCACTGTATATAATGCATAGGTAGGATTGATAGGTAACTCTGCATCATGGTTGGTATTGATAGGTAACTCTGTAAAACTGAACTAAGTAGTAAGTACCCGTTTTGTTACACTTGCTTATAAGTGTAAACTAGACTCTAGTACTAAACTCTAGTATATTTTACAGGTTACCTTGTCTGCCGGAAAATACAATAGCATCCATGGAAACAGCCTACAGACACGGTGCACACATGGTGGAGACAGATGTAGTGGTCACTCAAGACCTTGTAAATATACCATTATATAGGGGGGGGGGCACACTTGGTGAAGACAGATGTAGTGGTCACTCAAGACCTTGTAAATATATAAATATATATCAAATAGGACATAAACACCCTAAACATTTATATGCGATATAATATATATATGTCCTAAAGGGCGCTAGCCCGAGGACGATGTATCTTCGTATAGCCCGGTGGGCCCATTGGGCCCAAGTGCTATACGACACTTCCGCCGGCGAGGCGAGTATGATATGTTGCCGGGGGACCTTAAAAACCTTTAAAAACCTTAAAAACCTTAAAAACGGCAATTTTGGGCAAAAAACCTTAAAAATGACTCTCAAAAATGCCGGCGAGGCGAGTATGATATGTATGTAATCCCCCTTTCTTTTCAGAGAGCAGTACTGTATCACGATCTGGAGATTGAGTTGCCAGGGAAACGGAAGGTGCCCATCTGCCACATGACTAGTCACGCACTGGAGTGGGCTCCTACCGAGGGACTCATTGTGGACGAGAAACAGAGGAGTCAGCAGCTTCTACTTCGTCAGGTACATTAGTTAACAGGAGTGAGCAGCTTCTACTTCGTCAGGTACATTAGTTAACAGGAGTGAGCAGCTTCTACTTCGTCAGGTACATTAGTTAACAGGAGTGAGCAGCTTCTACTTCGTCAGGTACATTAGTTAACAGGAGTCAGCAGCTTCTACTTCGTCAGGTACATTAGTTAACAGGAGTGAGCAGCTTCTACTTCGTCAGGTACATTAGTTAACAGGAGTGAGCAGCTTCTACTTCGTCAGGTACATTAGTTAACAGGAGTCAGCAGCTTCTACTTCGTCAGGTACATTAGTTAACAGGAGTCAGCAGCTTCTACTTCGTCAGGTACATTAGTTAACAGGAGTCAGCAGCTTCTACTTCGTCAGGTACATTAGTTAACAGGAGTGAGCAGCTTCTACTTCGTCAGGTACATTAGTTAACAGGAGTGAGCAGCTTCTACTTCGTCAGGTACATTAGTTAACAGGAGTGAGCAGCTTCTACTTCGTCAGGTACATTAGTTAACAGGAGTGAGCAGCTTCTACTTCGTCAGGTACATTAGTTAACAGGAGTGAGCAGCTTCTACTTCGTCAGGTACATTAGTTAACAGGAGTCAGCAGCTTCTACTTCGTCAGGTACATTAGTTAACAGGAGTCAGCAGCTTCTACTTCGTCAGGTACATTAGTTAACAGGAGTCAGCAGCTTCTACTTCGTCAGGTACATTAGTTAACAGGAGTCAGCAGCTTCTACTTCGTCAGGTACATTAGTTAACAGGAGTCAGCAGCTTCTACTTCGTCAGGTACATTAGTTAACAGGAGTGAGCAGCTTCTACTTCGTCAGGTACATTAGTTAACAGGAGTGAGCAGCTTCTACTTCGTCAGGTACATTAGTTAACAGGAGTCAGCAGCTTCTACTTCGTCAGGTACATTAGTTAACAGGAGTGAGCAGCTTCTACTTCGTCAGGTACATTAGTTAACAGGAGTGAGCAGCTTCTACTTCGTCAGGTACATTAGTTAACAGGAGTCAGCAGCTTCTACTTCGTCAGGTACATTAGTTAACAGGAGTCAGCAGCTTCTACTTCGTCAGGTACATTAGTTAACAGGAGTGAGCAGCTTCTACTTCGTCAGGTACATTAGTTAACAGGAGTGAGCAGCTTCTACTTCGTCAGGTACATTAGTTAACAGGATAATCACAATATTACTAGTAGATTATTAAATAAGTTAGTTGTTTTTAAAATAATTGCATAATTTTATTAACCTCAACATAGTGAAAACTCTATGAGCACAAGTGTGCCCCCCCCCCAACTGCCATTGGGATTCCTTGTTTAAACCGATTATCTAACCGTTGTTTCAGAATGAAGAGTTGGCTGAACTCCAACAAAAGAGTAAACCGTACCCCTACCTATCTGATGCGCTCAGAACGCTGCCCTCTGAGTTAGGATTAATGCTGGAAGTAAAGGCAGATCTGCCTTACGAGGTGAGAAAGTTATGAGAATTGTATATAAACCGGGGCAATATCAGGTAACAATGTCAGGCGGTCCTTAACCGACAGTTAAAATTCCATAGATCGCTATCTAGCATTATCTAGCGCTATATAGCGCTATCTAGCGTTGTCTAGCGCTATATAGCGCTATCTAGCGTTGTCTAGCGCTATATAGCGCTATCTAGCATTGTCTAGCGCTATATAGCGCTATCTAGCGTTGTATTATAGCGTTAAAAAGGGGGAAATCAAGGGGTATTTCGGGGAATGCCTTATCTTAACCACCACTGTTTCCCCAGGGAGCAGAAAACGTGACGTATCACGCTGATAAGAACGTGTACCTAGACGTTATACTACACGACCTGTTCCACAATGTAGCAAATAGAAACCTCATTCTCTGCAGCTTCTGTCCCGATACTTGCGTCATGTAAATATTCAGTCATTAATTATATTGTATTTAGCTCAAACCATGCAATCGTCAGTTTTATGATTGCATGAGCTTATTTATTTTGGTTGATACAATGAAAGTATATAGGCTGCTAAATATAGTTGATAATATTCCTCTAGGCTGCTAAATATAGTTAATAATATCCCTCTAGGCTGCGTAACAAACAGAATCGTTGGCCGGTCGTCCTTATCGTTCAGGGGAGCACAGAAACTTACGCAGATTGTCTGGATAACAGAGTGTCCTGTCTCAAAGCATCCGTTACCATGGCAACTGCTGAAAACTTACATGTAAGTACACATCATTACCATGGCAACTGCTGAAAACTTACATGTAAGTACACATCATTACCATGGCAACTGCTGAAAACTTACATGTAAGTACACATCATTACCATGGCAACTGCTGAAAACTTACATGTAAGTACACATCATTACCATGGCAACTGCTGAAAACTTACATGTAAGTACACATCATTACCATGGCAACTGCTGAAAACTTACATGTAAGTACACATCATTACCATGGCAACTGCTGAAAACTTACATGTAAGTACACATCATTACCATGGCAACTGCTGAAAACTTACATGTAAGTACACATCATTAGCTTTAATCTTTGGTGGTACAGTTTGTCGGGCACGTGATCACCAAGTGATAACGTGACCAAACTTAGCCTGATAAATTCACCTGGGGATCTCAGTGGCGGAGTGTAAATAACACGTGACACGTGACACGTGCAGTTCAGTTTCGGTAAGCTAGTAGCAGCAGGACGCTCACTATGTGACGGGGTGTACGAGGTAATTAGTTTTAGCCAATTTGACACGGTTAAAATGCATCAAATTTCAAAATCGTTGTCACAAAATGTTCCAAGACTAATACCCTTGTGTCGTGCTATAAGCAGATTATAGTGTGTAAACTTCAGACTATACACTACACACTTCACTGTAATCAGTGTAAACTCGTGCTTTCTATAACTTATATATGTATTGAGAATTCTGAACGTCCTGAAGCGATTTGTGTTTTCCACACAGTTAATTCAATAATAGTAGTAGTTTTATACATTTAATTTAATATAGCCTTCCTACATAATCTGTTGTGCAAAAATAGCTATTATTTAGGTTCTGATTGGAAGGTGTGTAATGTGATACGTGCGCATGATACAATATAGTGTCTAATATATAGAACGCCAGTGTTATTTGTTTTAATACTTGCCGCCAGCCAGTCTGAGTCTATTCCGATAATACCTTTGCTTCCCTTGCGGGATATATCGGCAGGGGGGATGCAACGACCATTAATGTCAGTAGATGGAATTTTGTCAAAACTGACATTGTCATTAATGGTCATTAATGGTCATTAATGGTCATTAATGGTCATTAATGGTCGTTGCATACCCCCCTATCGGCAAATTATCAGCTCTCAGTGTCCACGAGTTTTAGTGCATATAATTCCCGGAAAGTATTATAACATACCTCGGCACTATGGTTACATAGTATTATAACATACCTCGTCACTATGGTTACATAGTATTATAACATACCTCGTCACTATGGTTACATAGTATTATAACATACCTCGTCACTATGGTTACATAGTATTATAACATACCTCGTCACTATGGTTACATAGTATTATTACATACCTCGTCACTATGGTTACATAGTATTATAACATACCTCGTTACTATGGTTACATAGTATTATAACCTACCTCGTTACTATGGTTACATAGTATTATAACATACCTCGTCACTATGGTTACATAGTATTATTACATACCTCGTCACTATGGTTACATAGTATTATAACATACCTCGTCACTATGGATACATAGTATTATACTAATACTGTAGCTAACTATCTTCACACGTTTATTCTCAGGGAATATCGATATTCAGCGGATTACTAAAAGACAATCCTGCTAGTGTTATTGAGTCTGTGAAACAAACTGGTCTCTTTACGTTCGTGTGGGGCTACCACTGTTGCGATCAACAGGTTTATTTACGTTTAAAGTTACATTTCCCTATTTTAACACTTATATTGAATAAACATTATAATAAATATTATATATATTATATAGTAATACTAAGTAGTATATGTTGTTGTTATATTATAAGTGCTCTCTAATTTCAGTTTAGAGATGAAATGAGAAGCAGCGAAATTGGCGGTATTATTTACGACAGAATCTACGAAGAAAACCTTCCTAAAAAGAATATTTTTTAGAACACTATGTCACATGTGCAATTAGTAAATTCAATATTTACTTTATAAACAGTCAATAAATTTTATTATCAGTATGCTGCATTGCTGAAAAGTGTGTATTTTAAGAAAGACCTCTAATCTGGTAGCAGAGTGTAACTTTACTCGTGTAGTCAAGAGATAATAGACCATGTCAACACTCACAGTTTTAGCGCCGCATTAACACTCACAGTTTTGCAATATTAAGTTATATATATATTAGTTGTACTGTATTTTTTAACTTGGTTAAAATTATTTTAAAATCTTTTTAACTTCTTTATCTTAGATTAGCTAATTTAACACAGTTTTAGTGCTAGTAATAGTTTGATGAAAACAATTGTTGCATGTTGGTTACCAAATTATTATATTTATTATGTTCAAATTACTAGGTATGTTTTAAGATAGGGGTCATTCACATATTATTACGTAATATTACCCCCCCCCCCCCCCCCCCCCCCCTCCGTAATCAGTTTTACACGTAGCTATTGTGTCCAAATTACACTAGCGTTATCATTTGGAAACCCCCCTCCCCCTCGGCTGATTACGTAATATGTGGACGTCCCCATATTACTGCTAGGAGATATTAAAACAATCTGCCGAATATTCTGTATCTTCTTCCTTATAATGTTATAAATAAGCTCACGCTAGAAAGGGAGCGTTTCTTTCATTACAGTTGTAATGATATGTAGTTGTGTATTATATACAGTAGTAATGATATGTAGTTATGTATTATATACGCTATACAGTAGTAATGATATGTAGTTATGTAAATTATATACAGTAGTAATGATATGTAGTTGTGTATTAAGCAGTTACATCACTGCTTATAATGTGATAACATTATTTTCACAACTTTGAGTTGTGAAAATAGTTTTATCCAACGAGTTTGACGAGTTGGATAAAACGAGTTATATCCCGAGGTTTGACCGAGGGATATAACTCATGTTATCATATTATAAGCAGTGATGTAAATGCATTCTCTGATGATCTACGAAATGATGTTAGCGAATGCAGCATTTACATCGGAAATTAACGACCGATAATATTACTACATAGAACATTCCAGAGTCAAACTTTCTAGAGGACACATCCTTATCTCTTAAAATTGTTACAGGTCGCTGAGATGTTGCTAATTATTTTAAATTGGTCAAATAAGCTCAGTGAAGCTCACACTCACACAAAACTTGCCACAAATGGTTGACTACTTGTTATTGACATTCTGTAAAATTTTGAAGCAAAAATATTTATCAGAACATAAGTTATACCACTTTCTGTTTTTAAAATAATTAGCAACATCTCAGCGACTAAGGATGGGCCAGGGAGATAACAATAGTTATCTCCCTCCTATTTACCTGTTAATCACAGCCTAAATGTAGTACCAGGGAGATAACAATAGTTATCTCCCTCCCAGTTATTGCACCCCTATTTAATGCATTATATTAGCGTAAACAAGAGTGAGATAACAACTTTTACATTATGGACAGTTACACACTGATCATGAGAGAATATATTATACAGCGTTGTGTATAGGATGTTCGAGGATGTAATTTATGAAAAAAAGATATTGATAGGTTTAATCCCCAGCTAACTTTATTAAATTTAGCAGTTATCTAATTAATATAAGATAACTTATAAAGAAATCTGATTCAAGAATTTTAAAAATCTTTTATTTTATACTGAGAAATTTTACCGTTTTCTAGAAATATCTACATACAGTATGTATCTACAGCTCTATGTGTTCTGTGTAAAATTATCTTTATCCCGGTTGTTGCGACAAGTAAAAATGCTCTTATTAGGGAAAGGAGATTACTCGACGTTTCAATGTAACTACATCGTATTCATGATCTCAATAAATGTATTTAATAGTAGTTGTGAAAATAGTTTTAAAACTATTTTAAAAATGGTAATTACTTCTCATATAGGAACGGGTTCTTGTATTGTTACGAGAAATGCGTTTATTTGGTTAAAACTAGGATCATTATTAAAAGTGTGAAGCTAATCTTATATGGTTACATTTCCGAACACTATCTAATCTTACTCTAGCTATAGGGGTTGTAAGATTGACAATATCTAAGATGATCGGGTAAATAATGTTTCTTCGCGCATTTCCTTTAACTAGAAATTAATTATTTTGTTTAGCACAAGATGATTTATTTTATTTTGTAGCTATGTTGTTTTGCTATATTATCTTTTAAGTTATGGTGAATTATTCTGATGTACTTTAAATTTCTGCTGGCGATATTATAAATATGGGTTTGATTTAAATATTGTAAAATTACAATAAACGTCTGTATTTCTTGTATGATTTCCCACCGAACCGCGTTTTCATTGACTCGTAAAACTCGTTTATTTGATTACTGTACTAATAATATCAAACAAACAATTTTCAAGACTTCAAGAGCTTCTGAGTTCTGACATTATGTTATCTTACGAATATAAATATGTCTCGCAATACTACGTGTGTGTAGTGTGCGTGCAGACCGGCGCCGTACAATGTTGACAACCTAGTCGCCAGTGGTACTAGCAGAGCGCGGCATACCGCGCGCGACAGAGAGTTCGCCCGTACAATAGTGAACATTTCAAAGATGATGATTAATCACTCGACTCGCTCTGATCTATTATTATCAGCAGTTTCCTTGCACTATAGTCCCCCTGTGCTCAGTAGTGCATCTCGCTACAACTTTGTACTTGCAGTGGCGCGCGCGCCCGCCATCCGAAACAAGTGCGCCCGCAGCGGCGCGAAAGTTGAAAGTACATGTGATATGGTTAACTTTAAGTAAACACTTGCCTGTCACTTGACTTTCTGACACGTTCTCTAGCTAGGTGTCCTTAATTGACGATGTCAATTCATGGCAGCACAGTAGCGCATCTCGCCGATTTAGCTAAGCCAGGAGGTCGCTGTGAGAAGCCTTATTGAGTGCGCGGCGCGGCACAGTCTAGTAACGCATCGCGCTACAATAGGTGTCCCTAGATGATCATTCGTAACCTTAACCCTCTAATCTGATCGAATCCCAATCCTGGCCTTAATCAAACATCAAAGCATATGCTGAAACCCTAACGTAACCCTAGCGGGAAATCAAAAGGATTACAGTGATCGAAACATAACAGTTTTTTGTCGATATCTCGCCAGGGAAACATCTTAACCAGATGCAGATGTTATGTGATTTGATTCAGAATCAGTGTCTTGAAGAACGAGTGTAAAGTGATTTTTAAAGTTTGTAACCTACCAAAACTTTGACATAATACATACGTTGTAACCCCTTTTCGCTCGCAAAAGGCCCCCTTCTAATCGCTGGCCTTTGGCCGGAGCCCACGCTTTGTTGCTCTAACCAAAGCCCTCTCGCTTGTAGTAGCGCGCGACCGCGCGCAGTATGCGTAGACACATGGCTATGTGAACACGCTTTGCGTGCACAAAAGAAACTTGTAACGTGTGGCAACTAATGCTAAACTCGCCGACGAAACAAATATTTTGCAAGTGTCGCCCGTTAAAAGTAATTTAAACTCAGTGTAATATTTGACCATTGTTGATGATCTGGCCCGGCGCGCGCTACTTCGTAGCACTTGCTATTGGAGGTCGGGAAGGCTACTCAATATCTATTTGTTTGAAGAAAATTGTGCTGGCCGAAATTAGCGCTAAAAACCAACCTACAGTCGGCACGCGCGGCTCACTGTCGATGGCGCATTACCTAATTAGCTCAAGTTTGGAGAGTTACAGTTGTTTGTGGATGTTAAAGGGATAAAATACTTGTGCATCGAAGAAAATAAATGTTGTTAAGACAGAGCGGGCGAGTAAAGGTAATTAAATTAATTTGATGATCAGGGGCTACATCACGTCTTCAACCCAGGGGGGGCAAGGGATTGCGGGTTCCAGAGGTGGAGCCCCTGGTGGGGGGGGGTAGGGGGCGAAGCCCCCCCAATAGCAGGGGTCTGGGGCGCAGCCCCCAGTGGGGTCAAGGGGCGGAGCCCCTTGTCGGGGGGATAGGGGGTCGAAGCCCCCCTGAAAAATTTTAAGGAAATTAGACAATTTTGACGCATTTTCCAGTACTTGAGGGACACGAATTTACGTTAGCAGCAACTAAAAGAAAAAGCAAATTAATGTAAGTAGTCCGAATTTATTGACAGTACATACTTCACAATCTCTTTTAACTACACATTAGTACTACACTTTACTATACATACATTTTCATGTTTTTGTAAACTTGTCCCCCAAATCCCAGGGGGGCAGCTGCCCCCCCTGCCCCCCCGGTGATGTAGCCCATGATGATGCTCTTGTCAACGGTCGTAAGATCGTTTCTCCGCTTGCCAAAAGTGATCATGTTGGGATACTAGTCAAACTGGTTGTTTCGCCCAATACTAACAAAAGTCCCAAACAAAAGATTTTAAAGCCTATTTGGGGTAAGATTTCCTCAGAAGAGTTATTTAACTTTAGTATGAATAGTTGTGGACACAACAGGAAAATTGAGAATAATCTTGTGCGAGGGTAGGGACCCAGATGTCGTTTCTAACCCAAATAAACTTTAAGGAGGCTTCTCATCAGTAGCCGCACCTCCTTACTCGGTTTCTGAACTGGAATTCTATGGGCTTCCAGACGGCCAGACCGAGTATTACCATCCCATCCTTCTAGAGTTCATCACAAGTAGCACCCACCTTGAAGATCTTTGACACCCAGACACACCCCATTGGCGAACAAACTTTGGATATAATCTTACATGCTCCCGAAGGAATCCCTGGTTTATGGTCTTTCTCATCGTCACCAGCACTTTCACTAGGTCACCAGCTCTTTCACTGAAGTCATCAGCCCTTTCACTGAAGTCATCAGATGTGACTCTGATCAACGGTATAGTTGTGGACACAACAAGAAAATTGAGAATAATCTTGTGCGAGGGTAGGGACCCAGATGTCGTTTCTAACCCAAATAAACTTTAAGGAGGCTTCTCATCAGTAGCCGCACCTCCTTACTCGGTTTCTGAACTGGAATTCTATGGGCTTCCAGACGGCCAGACCGAGTATTACCATCCCATCCTTCTAGAGTTCATCACAAGCAGCACCCACCTTGAAGATCTTTGACACCCAGACACACCCCATTGGCGAACAAACTTTGGATATAATCTTACATGCTCCCGAAGGAATCCCTGGTTTATGGTCTTTCTCATCGTCACCAGCACTTTCACTAGGTCACCAGCTCTTTCACTGAAGTCATCAGCCCTTTCACTGAAGTCATCAGATGTGACTCTGATCAACGGTATAGTTGTGGACACAACAAGAAAATTGAGAATAATCTTGTGCGAGGGTAGGGACCCAGATGTCGTTTCTAACCCAAATAAACTTTAAGGAGGCTTCTCATCAGTAGCCGCACCTCCTTACTCGGTTTCTGAACTGGAATTCTATGGGCTTCCAGACGGCCAGACCGAGTATTACCATCCCATCCTTCTAGAGTTCATCACAAGTAGCACCCACCTTGAAGATCTTTGACACCCAGACACACCCCATTGGCGAACAAACTTTGGATATAATCTTACATGCTCCCGAAGGAATCCCTGGTTTATGGTCTTTCTCATCGTCACCAGCACTTTCACTAGGTCACCAGCTCTTTCACTGAAGTCATCAGCCCTTTCACTGAAGTCATCAGATGTGACTCTGATCAACGGTATAGTTGTGGACACAACAAGAAAATTGAGAATAATCTTGTGCGAGGGTAGGGACCCAGATGTCGTTTCTAACCCAAATAAACTTTAAGGAGGCTTCTCATCAGTAGCCGCACCTCCTTACTCGGTTTCTGAACTGGAATTCTATGGGCTTCCAGACGGCCAGACCGAGTATTACCATCCCATCCTTCTAGAGTTCATCACAAGTAGCACCCACCTTGAAGATCTTTGACACCCAGACACACCCCATTGGCGAACAAACTTTGGATATAATCTTACATGCTCCCGAAGGAATCCCTGGTTTATGGTCTTTCTCATCGTCACCAGCACTTTCACTAGGTCACCAGCTCTTTCACTGAAGTCATCAGCCCTTTCACTGAAGTCATCAGATGTGACTCTGATCAACGGTATAGTTGTGGACACAACAAGAAAATTGAGAATAATCTTGTGCGAGGGTAGGGACCCAGATGTCGTTTCTAACCCAAATAAACTTTAAGGAGGCTTCTCATCAGTAGCCGCACCTCCTTACTCGGTTTCTGAACTGGAATTCTATGGGCTTCCAGACGGCCAGACCGAGTATTACCATCCCATCCTTCTAGAGTTCATCACAAGTAGCACCCACCTTGAAGATCTTTGACACCCAGACACACCCCATTGGCGAACAAACTTTGGATATAATCTTACATGCTCCCGAAGGAATCCCTGGTTTATGGTCTTTCTCATCGTCACCAGCACTTTCACTAGGTCACCAGCTCTTTCACTGAAGTCATCAGCCCTTTCACTGAAGTCATCAGATGTGACTCTGATCAACGGTATAGTTGTGGACACAACAAGAAAATTGAGAATAATCTTGTGCGAGGGTAGGGACCCAGATGTCGTTTCTAACCCAAATAAACTTTAAGGAGGCTTCTCATCAGTAGCCGCACCTCCTTACTCGGTTTCTGAACTGGAATTCTATGGGCTTCCAGACGGCCAGACCGAGTATTACCATCCCATCCTTCTAGAGTTCATCACAAGTAGCACCCACCTTGAAGATCTTTGACACCCAGACACACCCCATTGGCGAACAAACTTTGGATATAATCTTACATGCTCCCGAAGGAATCCCTGGTTTATGGTCTTTCTCATCGTCACCAGCACTTTCACTAGGTCACCAGCTCTTTCACTGAAGTCATCAGCCCTTTCACTGAAGTCATCAGATGTGACTCTGATCAACGGTATAGTTGTGGACACAACAAGAAAATTGAGAATAATCTTGTGCGAGGGTAGGGACCCAGATGTCGTTTCTAACCCAAATAAACTTTAAGGAGGCTTCTCATCAGTAGCCGCACCTCCTTACTCGGTTTCTGAACTGGAATTCTATGGGCTTCCAGACGGCCAGACCGAGTATTACCATCCCATCCTTCTAGAGTTCATCACAAGTAGCACCCACCTTGAAGATCTTTGACACCCAGACACACCCCATTGGCGAACAAACTTTGGATATAATCTTACATGCTCCCGAAGGAATCCCTGGTTTATGGTCTTTCTCATCGTCACCAGCACTTTCACTAGGTCACCAGCTCTTTCACTGAAGTCATCAGCCCTTTCACTGAAGTCATCAGATGTGACTCTGATCAACGGTATAGTTGTGGACACAACAAGAAAATTGAGAATAATCTTGTGCGAGG